CAGTTCGGACGAAGACGAGACGCCGGTGGTTGCAGCGTATGGCGGCGGCGCCCACGTGCGAGTGGGAACGCGCACAGCGCCGGGTGACCGGTGCTCGCTCGAGAAGCGACGAGCGACGGCGAGTGTGCAAGCGACGCGCGTTCGGAAGGGCCCGATCGAGACTCCGTCGTTGGAAAAGCCTGCCAAAGCCGACAAGGTTGTCGTCAAGAAGGAGTTTGCCTTCTTGTTCACGTAATACAACGTCCATTGAAAAGACATATTTGTACTCGAGTACTAACGCTGCTCGATACTAGTACTGTATACGCTATATGTAAAAGCAATCTGTCAGCAGATCTATGGCTGCCTTGGCACTACCCACGAGCGACCCAGCGTCTGCGTGAGGCTGGGCGTCTCGGTCCTGATCGTGGTGACAATGGCTTTACAGCGGCAAGAAGCGCCGTGAAGCTCTTGGATCGACGGCAGCGGCGGAGTGTACAACACCGAGACGTCACGTCACATGCGACGAGGCGCAAGTTTTATCCGGATAAAAGCCCTCCGGATATCTCTGGGCGGCTCACGTTTGCAGTCGCCAAGCACCCAAGCGCCATCAGTCTCGTCGAGCGTCGCTGCAGGCCTCAGGCTACAGGCTACAGCGCTGCAGCCATAGCGTCGTCGGTAGCTATGCCAGCGGTAGCTATGCCAGGTACGTGTTCTGCATCGTCGGCCATGCGTTGTTGCGATCGCATGCGCGCTGTGCTATCGACGGTCTATCCCAAGGCAGCGTGCTTCCGGCCGCCTGCGCGATCGATCTTCTATTTTTGGATCTTCAAAATATCGAACACGACAAAACGGTTTACCGTTTTACTTGGTATTTGTATGGTCGCACCTGGCGGCCGGCCGCCAGGGCTCGGCCACGTCATACTCCAAATTGCCCTCCGAGCCCGATGTCGCGACAGGCGGAGATGATGCGCGGCCCGGTCGCCGCTACCATCGACGACGTCGTCGAAGCCGTCGACCGACGCTTCAAGGCGGCCTACGAGCGAGCCCACGTTGCTGCCAAGCAACGCGCCCTTGCGGCCGTGTAAGTACCTATCACGTCGAATGGCACAGGCTTACAGGCGCTGTAGGCCCAAGGCGACCGAAATGGTCATCAAGAAGCGCCGCGCCGCCGTCGAGCCGACGACGTAAGTCCTGTTCCTCAAAACGACTAGGTAATTGAGCTGACAATGTATGCGCAGGCCACGGCCGATCAAGAAGACCGGCAAGAAGGATCGCGCATACTTCGAGGACCGACTTGCTCAGCTCCTTGCTGGTCAAGACGAGCTGCGTCGCGGGCAGGTCGCTGTCGCGCAGCATGTGACACGCGAGCGCGTGGCGACGGCGAAGGCCATGGAAGCGGTACATATTCCATTGCTATACATACGCAACTTGGGAACACGCTTCGTAGGTCCGGAAGCACGAGGCGGAGCCGCCTGAAATCTTCTTGTCGCATGTTGTCTTGACGGCCGAGCAGATCGACCTCCCGGTCGATGAGCTCGAGCCGATCCCAGATGAGTACGACGGTGACATTCAAGTGTACATCCGCGACAGTGTCGTAAACAAGGTCATCGTGGGGGGGCCGTACCCACTGCGCGTCCCGCGCGGGGGTTGGTGCCGGGAGGCGCTCAAACGCGCCATCAAGTGCACCATGGACACGTGTTCCCGGTGGTGACGTTCCTTGCCGGGTGCTTGTCAGCGGTGGGGTTTGCGCCGACTGCATCGTCCTCTGCTCGGTCGGTGCAAACACTCGCCGAGTCGGCGGTCAGCTACATCTTTCCCGTGCCATCGGCCCAAGACGCCCGGAAGGGCCATCGCATCCAGGAGATCCTCAAGATTGGCGATCCCGACCTCAAGTACGGCGGGAGCATGACAATCATAAGCCAAGACGGCGGCAAGGTCCTCCGCGGCACGGCGGACAACATTGCGGCTTACACCCGCGAGATGGCGGCGATGGCCGGCGACTCTGTCCGCATGGCGTAGCTATCGAAACAATACCAATTCCATGCAACACCAACATTTGAACGTATTTCCCGTCGGTATCGTCTGGACGTTGGTAGCAGTCGTAACAGAATCGCTTGGAGATCGTCCATTGTAGGGAATTTTGTACTAGTACAATATTGTAGACGTCAACACAGTCGGTACGAGAAAAATAGTTCAATTTGGAGTTTGAAAAATTGTTACAAAAAGGAAAATATATCCTACCCTGTCGCTAATACCCTTATCGTCGTTCTCATCTTGGTCCAATTTCTTTGCTAAATCATCACGTAACACACCAGTGCTGTACTAGGATGGCTGCGGGCTGTCGACGCTGTTTAACCCAACATCCAGCTCGGCCGAGCTCCACCTCACATCGTTGAACCAACAGAGCATGGGTACGACACAATGGGGTGGCACAGTCACCATCCTCACCATGTACGACACGACGGTGGACGAGCAAGCACATGAGCCATCGGAAAGTTCAATACGAGCCCCAAGCTCGGGCCAGCTCGGTTCCCAACGGTGACGCCTCTCAACTAAAGAATTAGCGTATACGAGTACAAACCAATAGTAATTGTTGGTACTCGAACTGCTGCCACGCACTACATGTACTTTGCAACTTGATTTTTGTGTTTTTGGATGACTATGTACGAGAGTTCTCCATTTTACTGGTGAGCGAACAGCACGAATGAGTTGCAAGAGCAGTACGACGTCGCATCTCATTTGTAAAGGGCAACGAGCTTTTGGAGACCTTATCGTTGGTCCTCGGGGTCGATGACGGTGGCGATTGCTGGCCAACGAGGCAAGTAGCGTGCATGTAGTATCAACTTATCGGCCTGTTTCTTCCTGTCGTTTGAAGTTTCATGGACAGGACGATATCATACCAATGACCTTAAAGTTGGTTTTGCGTATGCGACGAGTCGAGATGGTCCCAGAAAAAACACTCGACAAACAAACAGCGCACATGACAAACATTTTTAGGTGCATGCGAATGATTGATGTTCGCAAACAGACACCAAGTCAAGGCCACGGCTACTAGTACCAGCGAGCACGGATCGGCCACGTACTGGCAGTTGCCAATATTGTCTTCTACTCGGTTGAAACGACTAAGGAGGAGTTCCGAGTAACCTGTGAGACGGGCAACAGCCAATCAGAGGCCAGGAAAAAAAAATGCATCCCGTCTCGTGCGCATGGTTGTCGGCCGACCTCGACGACCTCAGCTCGCACCAATTCATCCCGTCTCGTGATTACGCGATTTGATTGGGCAAATCGTTGGATGGAGACACGGACCAAAAGTCGCCTTTGCAGTTGACATTTTCGATTGCAATGGCCACAAAACTCGAGCAACATGATGTCCACATGTAGGTTGGCTTAAGTGGAGCTCGCGCTCACTTTCTTGGTACTACAACAAGGCTTTTGCCGGCTTCCGTCAAGAAGCGACCAAATTGGTTGGCTAAAATTCCATTGAATATTAGCCAATCATAGCGCCGATGGTTTTTCGTCGTATTTTGCAAAAATCGTTCCGAGTAAAATGTGCCCGTCTCCCATCCGTCCCATATTTTTACTCGGAACTCCTCCTAAACTACGGTGCGATACGATCATCGCGCCAACCATTGGTCGGTTCAATATACATCAACTTCATGCAGGATGCCACGTCATCGCAGCCTGAGCGTTGCCACCAGCCCACCGCGCACAATCATCCGCATGCCACTTTTCAATTTGCACCTCAAGCATGACAACGTTTGCCGTGTCGAGCAAGGAGGTGACGGCGTACACTGGCGAGACGACCCGCGACGTGCCCGTGACGTCCCTACGAGAGTTTACGAAGGAGGGCTGCAATGATGTCCCGCAGTCGTCGCCCGTGACGTCGCCAACCGTGCACAGCAAGCGCGGTTTCGTCCAGGGCGTCATTCAAGCGTACAGCCAGCACCACAACCTCGTGCTTCGCCCTGATGATGTCTGGCTCGCGATCATGATTCCGTTCAGCTTGCACATCAACGGCAATGCGCGATGGTTTCGCTCGTCGCTCGTCAAGCACCGCGGCAAGAAGAACCTCGCGATCAAAGGCGGCGGCGACGTGACGTCGGCCAGCACAGGTGGCCTCGCCAAGCTCATGGCCAATGAAATGACCGCGCACCTCGTGAATCCAACGCTCAAGGACTGGGTACTCCCCGGCTTCTCAACGACGACGGACAACGACGTTGTCGTCGGCAGCGTTGTCTTTATGGCGGCGATGAAGAAGTATTTTGCCTACAAGTTCGAGCTCGGCTGTGGGATTCCGCTGGTTACGCTCCTCGGGACTGTCGACGATTGGCAAGACCTTCGAACCCGCAGCACCACGCTCGCGACGTTCGGCGGCTATGCATCGACGTGGTCTCGCATGCTGGCGCCGATTCTCGACCAGTTCGTCTCGGCCGCGAAAGGGCAGCCCGATGCGGTGTTCTGGGACCGGATTTGCCACCATATTGGCGGCGGGTCAGGTCCGAGCTATCTTAGTGGCTGGCTTAGTGTTTTCTGTGTCTTCAACGAGGAAGGGCAATGGCAAGGCGGTACAAAGTCGGTGACGCTCTACACCGGCAAGGTTGTTACGACGGACTTTCCGATCGTCGAGTCGCAAGACGTGCCGCCGGGCTACGTCACGGTCGACGTCACCATTAACGACAATGGGGTGCTGCGTGAAGGGCTCCTCTTTGCAGGCCACATGAGCTTCAGCGTCCAAAACGAAGCCACGGCCATTGCTCCAGAGCTGAGCTGGGCGATTGCGCTCAAGAACGGAGAGCGCGACTGTAGCGACGACGATGGCGAATGGACAAGCGCTTCGGGATGGCTTTGGGCGAGCGCCGCAACTTTGATCGTCGTGATCACGTGGACCCTCAAGCAGTGCTTTCTCTAATCCGAATGTCGATTGTTTCAACTATCAGTACAGCGCAGGGTAATCCTGGCTGGGATGGAGATGTTGACGTTGCACTCGCTGTGTCGATGCTGCCAACAGATCGCCGCCGTGCTCCAAGACTCGACAGAGTCATCAGCGTTGGCGCGTCTGGATTTGGAAGGCAACTACCTTGACGTCGCCAGCGTCAATGCTCTTATCCACGCCAATTCCTACCTCGTCGATACCACGGTCAACGTCACGGCGCGCATCGACGCCGACACGTCAAGCTCCAAGCGTAAGCCCAATACGGTGTTCAGGTCATCTGTCAACACGAACATGGGTACCGTCCCAGCGACCATTTGACATGTAGCCCTCGCCTATAAGCCACTACTAAGTGCATATCCATCACGCATGTCGGACGTTCTTGTGGCAGCTCGATCTTCTCTGCGTTGTCGACGACAAGCGAACCCGCATGTGGCGACTAGGACGTGATCGGTGGTGAATGAGTCGCTTGGGGAATTCCTTCTGTGCTTGCCTCGCGTCTTGACGTTCTGGCTGCTGTGGGAGTCGCCGAATGCCACGCAGGCAACGCCAACGACAAAAGCCATGCAAAACGATATTATATAGACTTAGCGCTCGAGTGGGGACTTGAGAAGCCACGGCGCGGCCGGGTACAGCTCGCCAAAGAGCAGTGTGCAGAACGGTTTGTGGTCGGCTAAACTGTGCCGCGGGTCGGTGCTAAACGAAATGAGAAGCGCCACGAGCTCCTTCTTCTCGCTGCCGACGCTCTCGAGCACCTTTTGGAGCTGGCGCGTCGACTTGGAGATCTCCAGCGGCCCGTTGCTGTCGAGGCGCAGCGCCTTGCGGCTGTGCACGCGCACAAAGAGACTCAGCGCCAGCGCCGACGTGTGCAATGCCGTCGAAAACTTGGGTCTAAGTGGAACGTCAGCCTCGCGCACTCACACGTTAAAGATGTGTCGTACTTGGCAAAGGCGTGCAGAAACGAAAAGCCGATCGCGCGCTGGAGCGTGTCAAGGCCGTTGCCCGCGTGTCTCGCTTCGCCCAGGCTCCAGAGGCTCTGGCTCACCTACGACCGCGTCAGACATTGAAGAACGCTGTCTGTCGTACCCGGGAGAGCATGTCTTGCTTAAAAGCCATTGCCACCGACTCGAGCCGCAGGACAAGGCAAAACAGCGTCGTGCACAGAAAGAGCAGCGCTGGCTCCGCCTCTCTCGGCATGAGGTCGTCAACGCTGCAAGCGCGCTCGACGTACTCGACCAAGCGCGCACAGAGCTGCAGTTCGAGCGGCGGCTTCTCCTGCCACGGCGCCTTGGCGACCGCGGCGTCCTGTTGCAAGCAGTAGGCGACAAGCGGCAGAAACGTGTAGCGCTCCAAGCACGACGCGACAAACTCGACGGCGCTGAGCTCGGGGACTTTGACGCCGTCGACGACGATGGGCTGCCACGAGAGGCCCTTGGTCACGTATGACGCCAAGCTGCGTTCGCAGAGCGACGCCATCACATGCACTGACGCAACGGCCGCGCACGCCGCCTTGACGCTCTCGAGCTCGTGGAGGGTTGCCAGTGACAGCAGCATTGACGCCACGATAGCACCGACCGACGCCATAGGCGCCAAGACCTCGACATGCCCTTCCAGAAGCGGCACGGCGCTGGCTTCGCTTGGTCGCAGCTCGTCGCAGACCGTATGCAGCGCGTCGCCGAGCGCCATCCACGTGTGGGCGACAGCGAGTCGTTGCTGGAGCGCACCGTCGACGACCGGGACGTTGGCGATGCGAAAGACGTCGGCGTACAAACTCTGGAGGTGCTCGGGCTTGAAGATAGCTTCAAAGTCGGAGCGGTGGACGTGCAGAAGCGAGAGCACGTCGTAGACGACGACGGCAGCGGCGCTGGCCAACGACGCAACAACGGCAGCGTACACGTTGTGGTGGCCGACAGCGTCCCGCGCCAGCTTCCAGTCGGGCCCCGTCGGGTGCAGTAGCAGCGTTAGCAAGTGGAGGAGTGTCGACGCCTTCTTGAGCTCGTCGCCTTGGCGCTCGGCAAGGTCGAGGCCGCAGAGACTCAGGAGCAAGCGCAGTGCTGCAACGTACCGAGCATGAGCATCCGCAACCGCGTCCACGGGCCCACACAGCAGCGTTGGGTGCAGCAGCAGCGCCCGACAGCCGTTGGCGACGGCGTCGACTTCGGCGCTCTTGATGGGCCGCCCGAGCCGCCGCGGGTGACTCAAAAACGACGCAAATGACCGCGGGAGCGTGTGGTCACGGTGGTGGACGGCCACGTGCATGAGCAGCAGGTGGTACTTGACAAAAAACGACGATTGAACGTGCCCTGGCTGCGCGTCGAGGTACGTGGACGGCCACGGCGACCGGCTCAGCATGTCGCGTAGTACGAGGAGCACGTGTAGTCGCAGCGGCGACTGAAACTTGATCGCGTACGCCGTCGCCATGCTGGCCGTCGAGACAGTCAAGCAGTCCTTCATCGTGTTGAGTGTCTCTTCGTGCAGCGCCCACTGGTCCCACGGCACGCGGCCGAGAAGAGGAACGTACGCCTTGATGAGGCTGTCGGGCGCGTGCGGCCAGAGCACGTTGCACATGAGCGACCAGATGCAGTCGAGTTTGATCTGCATCGCCATCGTATCACGCTCAAGAAAAGACTGGAGACACGACCAGAGCGCGGACGCAACCGTCGCTGGCGTTGCATCGTCATTTGACGGCCACGGTGCCAGCGCCCGAACGGGTTCCGGCGCCGACGGCATGTACAGCACCTACGCATAAGGCCATTTACAATAGCAAGACAGCATCAAGTGTCGTACCTGCAGCATGGCTTCAAAGACCTTGGACGTAATCGACCACATCATCTCGGCCGTCGCTTGGGCGCGCACCCAGACAACGACAAGGTCCAGACACGGCTTGAGCACATGCGCAGCTTGCCACTGCGCGAGCTCGTATACATCTGCGCTCGCACTGAGGTTGTCGTCGCCGTGCTTTTTCCAGTCCTGCTGCGCGAGCAAGCGGTCGTGACCGGCACTGCGACGCGCCAGCACATGGGACGTGACGCGCTCGACGAGCAGCTGCAGCGTCTCGAGGGGCAAGTCGGCCCAGAGCTCGTTTGGCACGTGCGCGACGGCCTGCCAGAGGCCAACATCCAGCGGTTTGCTGATCGACATGGACAACGAGCTCTCAAAATACGTGCGCATGGCCTGCAGGTCCGGCGCGTAGTACTGGTCGTAGACGCCGAGGAGAGCGCAGAGCACCTTGTCCACGTGATCTTCGAGGAACAAGCTGCAGAGCGTGTGGAGCGTCTTGGCGTGCATGCGGTGGACCTCGGCGCTCGGCTGTCCGAGCACGAGCTCCGCAAGCACGATCGAGAGGAGCGTGTCTCGGTCAAAGACCGACGGCGACGCCTGCAGCCACTTGGCAATGTCAAAGCGCCGGAGCAGCTGGAGCCGGTCGTCGGTCGACAAGTCGGGCGTGTGGTACATGACGGTCGCAAAGTACTCGACGAAGCGCGTCGGCGTGTTGTTGGGGAAGAAGCAGTCGCTGAGCAGGACGACGCGCGCCGGGTCCTGCAGCATGAAGCGCAAGAGGCCACTCGTCTCTTCCTGGTCAACGCCAATGAACGCGACGCCGAGCGCCTGAATAGACCGCCAGAGCACCTCTTGGAATGGCGGGCACCGGCGCACGACCTTCGAGTCGAGATGCAGGAGGGCGTGGAACCAAGCGACACCCTGCGCCTGCCACGCCGCCGGGTCCGACGTCAAAAGCGCCACGACCGAGTCGATCAAAAGGATCTGAAAACAGATCTGAACGTCGAGCGCGCCGAGCTGCAGGTAGTTGCCGCGGTCGCCGACAACAGCAATCGGTGCCAAGAGCAGGCGCAGCGACGCAACGTTGAGCCGCGTCGCCTGCAGCTGGCACGTGGCCAAAACGTCAGCCGAGGCGTCGTCGAGGTGCCACTCAGTGTACTCGAGTCGGAGCGCGCTCGGCCGCTTGCACGGCGCGGGGTCCTTGCCCTTTCGACCGGCGCACGGCACCGACTTGGTCACGACCACGAGCTTGGGAACGTAGAGCTTGGCGAGCTTCTCGACAAAGTCCGTCTCGAGCGCCGTCAGCTGCGAAAGCACGTCCGTATACTGCATCGCCCGGTCGACAAACGGACCTGAAGCAAGTTCCAGCGGGAGCGGTCCGGGCGTCGTCGGGAGACACGGCGAGAACCGAAGGTATTTGAACCGCTTCATCGGCATTGGCTCGGGCCAGACCACGGGCTTGAGCGACGGCGGCAGCGACACCGGGGACGCAACGGCCGACGACGTATTCGACGACGGAGACGACGTTACGGTCACGGTTGGGAGGCAGAGATGCACCCACAGCAGCGGCGCCACGCGGTCGCAGAGCGCCTCGGACCGCGTTTCGATCGTGTCGGACGTGTGCAGCAGCACGTGGCTGAGTTGGAGCAGCTGCGTCGCGTGGCCAATGCAGTAGTGCGGCGGCAAGCTCTCCTTGTGCCCCATCCAAAGACCGACGTCCGTGTTTTCGAGCCACGCGTCCATGGCCGAGTAGAGGCGTGCGAGCTCGCTGGCGTACGGCGACGGATGACTCACGACCTGCGCTGAAAAGTGCGCCGAGAGCTGGCGCAGCTTGGCTTGGAGCGACCGCCGGGGCAGCTGCTTGGCCTCGAGATCCCACACGTGATGTCCAAAGAACGTCGACCCGATCGAGGCAAAGTACAAGGCAAACCAGAGCTGCCACCACAGCACGAGCATCGGCGTCGTGTTGGGACACGCGAGCACAATCTGCGCGACGCGGAAGAGCCGCAGCGTCGAAAACGAGGCAAACTCGAGGTCTCGCTGGCCGTAGGCGCCGGGGTGCGCCGTCTCGACGCCGTAGACGTACAGCTCTGTGGCCAGCCGGCCTTTGGCTCGGAGGCTTTCGATCGCCTTGGCCTTTTGCTTGCCTGGCTCCTTCAAAATGACGTGCCCGAGCGCCTTGTAGAGCTCCTTTTCTCTCCGGACTTCGAGGAGGAGGGCGAGGTATGAGAAATGGAGGTCTGTGGCCGTCGCTCCGGAGAAGACCGACCAAACAGAGGCAGTTGGCGGTGGTACAAAGCTTCGGGCGCCCGGTAGCATGCAGAGGGCGTCGTAGTAGAGCGAGAAGGGCGCCTCGAGCGCCGACAGCATCGTTGGCGACGCCATCGCCAGCGCCACGATCGCGTCGACGACCGTTCGGTACGCTGGGCGCGTGTACCACTCGGGAATCGTGAGCACCAAGACGAGCCAGTACTGCAAAATCGTTGGCGACTGGAGCACATGGTAGTGGCGACGGATGACCGCGCAGACGCCGTCAACGTCGGGCGTCGTCGTCGACGGCTCAGCGACCGGTTTTGGCTGCCACAACAACGTCTTCTTGAGCGTCTGAAGCGTCGCTACAGCGTAGTGCTTGGCCGTTGCGGCGTACGACGCTGGTACTTGGTCGCAGAGCGATGGCAGAAGCATCGGGTGCACACAGCAGCTCTGTTCGAGCGCCGTCTGCACGATGGCAATGATCTCGTCGCGGTCGACGCTGCCCGTGTCGGCAAGGTACTGCACCACGAGCGGCAGGCGCGGGTCTAGCGCAAAGTACAAGTTGGTGTGCAGCATGGCCACGATGCTGCGGAGGTCCTTGTTGAACGCCACGTAGTTTTTCAAAAACGACTGCACGTCGCTCGGCGAGAGCCGCGGCAGGTGCGGCAAAACGCACTCGACGATCGCCAAGACCGCACTGCGCTCGCCGTGGTCAACGAGCAGCGACAGCAGCGGCGCGTACTTGTCGACCGCCGAGCTGTACAGGTACGTCGTCAGCTGGCACAAGGCGTAGAGCACGATGGGCTCCATGTGCGCGATCGGGACGGCATCCGCGTCGACGCTCGTGCTGTCATCGGCGTCGCGCAACGGCGCTTCCGGCACAGTCGCTCCATCGACATACGTGATGCACATGGCGGCAGCGACCGACGCAGCCTCGGTTTGGCCGAGCACGAGGTGGCTGCGTGGCAGGCCGTGCGTGAGTCGTCGCAGCAAAAGCGCTTCTTTCGACAGATCCGTGTCGAGCTCCATCAGCGGCAGCAGCGGAAGGTAGTCGGCCGTCGAGTAGAAGCGCAGCTGCTGCATCAACTGCCACGCCCACGCCCGAAAGTCCATCGACCACGGCCATTGGCGCGCCGACGCGTAGAGCTGCACCGTGGCTTCGGCCAAGAGCAAACTCACAAAGCGGTGCACGAACGGGTCCAAGAAGAGTATATGGACCGTGTTGGGCGCGTCGCCCCAGTTGAGGCTCTCGAGAATCGACCGGGCGACGACGCTGCGGGCGTCCATGACGTTCTCTTGGAGCAGCCACGCTTGCAAAATGTGCAAGTCCGACAGCGTCGGCTGCCACAGTCGCAGCGGCAGCTTGGGGAAGAGCGCGAGACCGCACTCGTACTGTGGCAAAAGCGCCAGCAGCTGCGAGTGCGCCACCGGGTGCGCGACGCAGACGACCCGAAGCGCGTCGACGTGCACGTCCAAGACACGCGTCACCTCAAACGACAGAAAGAGCTCGTGGACGATCGTCTGAACGAGCTCGCTCCATGGCGCCACGGCCGCGAGCGACGCCATGGCCCCGAGAAGGTACTTGCCAGGACCTCTAAGCACGTGCTTGTGCAAGCGAGCGCGAAGACTCGGAACGTCGGCGAGCCAGCACTGAAAGGCCACGTACGAGGTGGCGCCGACGGACGCCTGGCCAAAGAGGCCGCCGAGAACGTCCCACGACGCTGCCGGAGAAAGTGCGGCGTAGTGCCAGCTCGGGAGGCTGCGGTAGACGGCCACGTTGCGCGACTGGACGACGCCAAAGAGCGCAATCTGGAAAAGCTGGTCAAAGAGCGAGCCCGGGTGAGCACCAGCGGCCGCGAGGATGACGCCAAGACCGTCCGCGACGTGCGCAACGAGCAAATCGTAGTCGGCAAAGCGCTCAAAGACGCTCGTGCACTCGTGGACGAGATACAAGAGATGCGCAAAGCACTGCGCGAGGTCGTCCGACGTCAAAATATGAGTCACCGCGCGCCCGAGCGGCAGTTGACTGCAAAGCGCCGTGTAGTCGGCGTCCCCGAGGAGCTGCGGGCGATCGTCTGCGATTTCGGGTTCAAGCAGCAACCACTCGTCGACACTCGACGACCGGCGTTGCTTTCGAGGCGACATCTCCGTCTCATCGTGGGCGGTCACGACTTGCGGCGGCAGCTGCGTCGGGTGAAACAGCAGATGCCACAACGACAAGAACAGGTCGAGAATCTCGCGCGACCACGGAAGCGGCGGCAGCTGCAGAAAAGCCAGCGCCCAGCGCCGGTCGGACGCCAGCAGCGGCAAATGCAGCAAATGTGTGAGGAGGTACGGCAGCACCGGCGCGGGGTCTGTCGCGAGGAGCGTCGTCGCACACCGCCCGAGCCAGTGCTGGAGCGAAACCCGAACTTGAGCCACCGCGATCTTCCACTCGGGCGACGAGAGCGCGACAGTCGACCGGGGTAACACGAGCAGAGCTTCGCAACGAGCGCACGGGCCCGTGGCGAAAGTGCAGAGGCAGCCGCACGCGGGGCACTGCAGCTGCTTCGTATCGTCGTCTTCGACGATTGGCTGGCCGCGTCGGAGCGCAGATGGCACAACGCCCAGCAGCGGCGACTGCGCCCGCGTCACCTCCTTCTCCAGAAACCAGAGCACGTCCATAGCGTCCGTAATGGCGTCAACGGCGTCGGCGTCGAGGAGAAGACCGTCCAGATACTGTTCGACGCGCAGAAAGGCGAGCGCGCGATCGTACGTGTAGACGGCAGCTTCTGCCGACCGCAGCTGCCGGAGCGCCTGCCACTGCTTCAGAAGGGCGTCGCGCATGTCCAGGTCGAGACTCGCAGTGGGAAATTCGATCGTCTCGGTGAGCGTCTGCAGGTCGCCACAGAGCGCCGACGCCGACACCGAGTCAAACCCGGTCGTCCACACTACAACAACCTTTGAGTCGAGAACCAGATTTGGTTGAAGAATGGTACCAGTGTGCGTCTTCTCGGCAATCTCGGCTTCGATCGCCGCCACCGTGGACGACGCGACCCGCAGCGCGTACTCGCAGTAGAGATAGGCCTCGACGAGCCGGTAGAACGGCGTCGGTGCTTTCTCGAGCACTTGGAGTCGTTCGTCGTACGCTTGCACGTGTTCGTCTCGGAGCCGCAGGTTTGCTTCGTAGTTGTCGATGCGGCGCAGTGGCACACGAGGAACCTCGCGAAGCGGCACCATGGGCGGTGCTGGCAACTCCCGGACCTTGGCGACGCGGGGCGTGAACGTGATGGGCTTGAGCATGCTTAGCGCGGGGTAGATTGGCGCCGAGATCTTGGCTGCGGGCGTGACGAGCAGGTCGTGGACGGTCGCGATCGATGCGTTGGCGGCAAGAGGTGCATATTTGGTGGTGACATCGACTGGCGCTGCCGTCGTTGGGGCGAGCTCCAGCGGCGGCGCAGTCGTCTTTGCATCTTCTTCGTCCGTGGGCGCAGAGGGTGCCAGGTACGCGAGGCCATTCATGGGCGGGCTCTCGCCGTTGTTGGCGACCTGCGGCGCCGACGGGTTGAGGTCGAGTGCGGTCATCGTCGGCATCGGCGGCATGCCCATCACGGGTAGCATTGGGCTTCCGAGCATGATCGCTTCCCAGTTGTCGAGTTGCGGGTCGTCTTCAAAGTCCGGAGCGCTCGGGCTCGAGCCGTCGTTAAAGTTGTCCAGGAGCAGCAGCTCTTCGGTCGAGAGGTGGATCTTGATGGGCTTCACCTGGACGTCCTCGGACGTCGACGCGCCGTTGCCGCGATGCGGTGCGCCGAGCGCGACCAGCGGCTGCGCCGGCTCTGCCCGCTTCGCCTTCTTCTTCCGCACGAGCGTTGCCATCGCCGTTTTCTATCTACTTGGACACTTGCGACACGACGCATTTAATCCAATTTCTTTTGTTATCTAGGATATTCTATGCAAACACGTGATTTGTATTGTATGATGGCCGGTCCGATCAACACTCTGCGCTTCTCGCCATCGACAGCATGGACAGCACCGGCGTAATTGTGGCTAAATGGCGAATTTATGGTTGGATGCCATTTATAGTTAGCTGTGGTAGAGTGCGTAATCTTGGCTTGGCGCCACATTTAGTGTGATTCCAATGCTCTGCGTGGTGATTGGTGCATCGAAATTGCCTTTTTAGCCAATCCAGGACGGTCAAGTGCGTCGATGAGGCAGGTGCTGGTGCTTGGGAACGGCGCCGCCGGCGCAGAGAAGCAAGCGCTCGCTCTCGCCGCCAAGCTGCAAACGGCAATCCGCAGTCTCGATGTATCGCAGCCTATTGGCGTCGCCATGGCGCGCGTGCCGTACACGAAGGCCTTTGTCCGAATCCCACCGGCAGCCCACGTCGCCGCCGCCAGCTTGTTCCAGCGCCATGGCCTGGGCTACGCGCCGCCACTACCAACGCAGCACGTACCCGACATCGTCGTAGGCTGTGGCCGCTCGACGGTTGCGCTCTGTGCCGGTCTCAAGCGCGCGCACCCGTCGCTCTTCAACATTCAGATCCAACACCCGCGGTAGGCGCCTCGCGGCCTTCTGTCTGCCCACTCGACTCGTTGTCGTAGCATCGATATGGCGTACTTTGATGCTGTGCTCGCACCGCAGCACGACTTTGACGCTGGCGCCGTCTTACCGTCACATGTCTACGCGACACCAGGCACCATCACCGACGTTGGTCCCGACGTTCTCGATGCGTGGGAGGGTACCGCGCCGTGGACGCAATGGCCTGGCGCTGCTGTTGCGCTGCTCGTCGGTGGCTCGTGCCGCGGCTACACTCTCTCAATCGGTATGCAAGCTCTATATCTGGGGCGTGTCTCAACGCGTCCAACAGACCGCGCCAAGGCTCTTGTCGCGCAGCTACAGGCGCAGTGGTCACCAACGACGTCCCTCTTTGCGACCTTCTCCAGACGCACACCATCGTCGGTATGCGAGTACCGATCTTTCGCGCATTGCTTGTAGAATGTAGGTCCAAGCGTATTTGCAGCAGGCGCTGCCGCTGGCGTTTCCCCAGCTCGTGCTCTACGACGGGAAGGGCGAGAACCCGTACGTTGGCTTTTTGAAACACGCCACCTACATTGTGACGACCCCCGACTCGGTGTCCATGACCACCGAAGCACTTTGCACCCAGAAGCCCGTCTATGTGTTTGATGCCGAACTGTGCACGGTCGGTTGCTGCGGATTTGAAAAGCCCTAACCCTTGTCATCGGTTAGGGTAAATTTCTCCGGTTCCACGGCGCGTTGCCGACGCAGACGTGGGGGGCGCCATTGAGTGCAGTGAAGCCGCCGCCATTCGAGTCTCTGCCTGCTGATGTGGTAGAAGCGATCGCACACCGTGTCCTTGAGCGATGGCAGACGCAAATGTGCGATGTGACCCAATGAGTTCGACTGCGCGGCGATGACAGACTGTCGTCGCACTTTAGTGGAGTCGCATTGTGTCTAATGTGGTTTCACCAAGAAGATAGTACTACAGGGTGTCTGGCGAGGAGTGCTCAATGGATAGATAGGCTGCGCCCCAACGCGCAATCGGTCACACTCAAATGATGAAATCGCAGAAAAGTCAAACCGTTCCAGAACTTAATCGATCGCAAGTGCGCTTGATTGGTCGCTCATATGACGTAAGCTCCTCTTTTTGCATCGTCGAACGAGTACAAAACTGTCCTCTCAACGTGTGCGAATGCATTGTGGATGGTGCCTGGCGTCATCACCATCGACAATCGCATCGTAAAGCGACTCTACACGTACTAGTAGGTACTAGTATCCAATGTTGTCCTTCTAGGACCCTATCCCTGACAAAAGGCAATAATGACTACCGTAGTCATCAGCGATTGCTACGCCGTCATCACACACAAAAGCGGGTTTGCATCCGTCTTTGCCCCTCCGAGAAAGCTACTCTTCGACGACGCGGACGATGCGCCGCACTTCCCTTATCTTACGACAGCTACAAGCCGCCCACCCCATCGCTACGATGAACCACGCGACGTTGCTTTTTCCCAACCAGACGACTCTGCACTACACACGCTGGGGTGGACCGACGGCGTCGACGACGTTCGTACTCGTCCACGGCGCACCGGGCTGAGCGCCTCGCGCCGCTTCTCGTAAACGACCACACGAACGTTGTGGCATTCGACCTGCCGGGTCACGGCCGCACGAGCGCAGACGTCGTCGGCGGCTACTACTACATTGACGCCGCGGTCATCACGGACGTCGTTGCGACGGCACTAACGCTGCTGCCGCCCGCGCGATTTCTTCTCGCGGGACACTCGATGGGCGCCCACAACGCACTGCACGTCGCTGCGCGAAGCGATGCTGTTGCAGGTCTCGCCCTCTTGAACCCGATGGTCTGCGTCCAAAGCCGCAACCAGCCGACGTTCGAGTACTGGTTTGGCGTCGTCATGCGCCGCTGTGGTAGCAGTCCCAACTTCATGACGCGATGGAACCGCTCGATTTACTTTAATAAGATGCGGTTCTCGCCCTCGATTCCTGAAATGGAGTTTGTCGCCGCCTTGTACCGAATGACGACGGCCGACTACGCCCGCGTCGCCGCCGACGCCGACACGCTACGTCGTCAGAAATTCCCCGTCCTCGTGGCGCTGACGGCCGACGACAAGGTCATTGAAGTTGAGATCGGCCACGAGCTCGCAGCGGCGCTCGGCGCGACGCACGTCACAACCTTCGAAAAGGGCGGCCACAACATCGTCAAGACCCAAGTCGATGGCGTCGCTGCCGCTCTCAACGAGTGGGCTAGCACCGTTGCCGAGACACACTCGCCACAGTCAACCATTGTCGCCGCGTGAAGACATTCATCAACACTCGAGAGACGCATAACAATGTCGTATATAAATTTCGTGTTCACGAGCATGCTATCTTCGAGTCGTGAGCCATTTATGCTTGCTTGGCATCTCATCACATTTCTGTTCCCGTCGCGACGACTATGCGAGTGGCTGCTGTAGAATGAAGTCAACATTCATGTGGCCCAGCTCAACGGAGCGGACAGCGCCCTGTGTTGCCGAGGTTGATTGGTGCTCAGTGGTCAAGTGATTGGTGTTTGTGCATTTTAGCATGTGTCGCTCATACGACGGCAAGTTCGAAGCGGGCGTCGACATCACGGGCAGCGCAGCCCTTGGCGCAATCCCAGCTGGTGCTATGACAGAGTGATGGTCTCTTAAATTCCCATCACTCGACTTGGCACATTTTCAACCCTTCCTCGAAATGACCCAAGCGCTGCGCCTGCCCATGACCTATTTCCGCTCGCCTCGCCTGGCGGTGCACCGGTACGCCCGCGTCGACGCTGCGACGGACGCCTCGGTGCTTGCTGGCGTCGCACCGCTTTTGGTGACCGCACCGCTGACGTCGCTCGCCGTCACGGGAGACGAAATCTCGGTCGTGTTGCCGGCCACGGTGCCGCTGCCGACGGCGCCCAGTGCGACCGAAGACGGCTGGGTCGCCTTCAAGGTCGAAGGGCCGCTCGACTTTGGCCTTACGGGCATTCTGTCGGCGCTTACGGCGCCCTTGGCGTCCGTCGGCATCCCCGTCTTTGCGATCTCAACCTACGATACCGATTACATTCTTGTCAAGCACGACAAGGCCGACGCAGCCATCGACACGTGGACGACGACCGAAGTTGGCGTCATTCGGCACGCGCCCGAGGCTTGATTCTTAATGGGTTAAGAATGGCTCGTTCGATTACTTGCCTTGGCTCTGTGTCTTATTGTCCGCGATTACTTGCGCAACGATTCCATCCCTCGGGAATAACGTCGACGTGTAACGGTGTTTGGAGGGATGGGTGCGCCTGCCGCCGGCCCCGAGACGACCTCTACGTACACGGAAGCGTTGTCGATCGTGTTTTGCTGACGATGCACTAGGCATGTGGTATGGCAGCGGGGTAAGCTCATCGGCCATGGACGCTTCGGCAAGGTCTACGTTGGCATCCTCCTTGCCAGGTATTGCTCGATGGTCAGGGAAACCCGCGAAATGCTCCTTCTTGCACAGTGCGACGATGGTAGCTGTCAAGCAGCTGCGGATCCAAGGCCACGACTATGAAGACGACGAGGTTGATACGGCTGCCACCCACGGCGCCGAAGTCCCACTCGCCAAGATCGAGCAAGAAGTGGCTGTCGGACAGGCCTTGCGTCACCCTCATATCGTCCAGTACTACGGCGCCCGTATGATTCGATTTTGCTATCACCAAGTTAGCGATATATATTAGAGCGCGAAGGGAGACTCTACAGTCTCTTTATGGAGTATCTTCCGATGGGGTCCGTGCGCAGGTAACTGCGAAGCAAGATTCTGGCGCCAAGTCTTTGTAGTTTGCTCCAGACGTTTGGGCCGCTCGACGAGTCGATTGTGTGCGTCTACACCTCGCAGCTGCTTCGCGGTCTGCAGTATTTGCACGCCATTGGCCTCGCGCACCGAGATATCAAGTGTGCGAATCTTCTACTCTCGGACAGCGGCTGCCTCAAGATTGCCGACTTTGGCACGGCGAAAGCGGCGGAGCTTGACCCCAAGGACGACGACGTTGACGACGAGCTCTTTGCTACTGTGGGGTACGGCTCCGACACGATGTTGATGTCTCACTACGCTGCAGGTCGGTGCGCGACGGCATTGGGTCCCCCTTTTGGATGTCGCCCGAGATCATTCGAGCCGAACTGGGCGCCGACGCCTGGACAAAGTCTGATGTCTGGAGTGTCGGGTGCTGCGTCGTAGAAATGGTGACGGGCGAGCCGCCGTGGGTACGTCTCCAACACTTGCACGAGGCGTCACGCAAGCTCACTAGAATACGTTTTCAAATCCGCTCACCGCCATGTTTCACATTGCGTCCGAGACGTCGCCAGTGCTTCCGTGCCACTTGTCGCCAGTGGCCCACGATTTCGTCACGGCATGCCTCGTCAAGGACCCAGCGCAACGACCGACAGCGTCCACGCTGCTCCAGCACGCCTTGTTCCACCCACTTCCGCGGTCGTCGAGCCACTATGGCTGGTTTCACAAAGAGACACCCGTGGAGCCGGATGAGCCGGGCACCTGGTATCTCTACTACGACTGGACAACCAATGCGTACGAGTACGCCTACTACATCGTTGACGACGGCGGCTACTGGGTGTACCGAGTGCACGGTGCGTGGGACTGGTTATTGTTTCCGCTGCCGAGTGTTGTGGAGATTGCACTTTGGTGGCTCGCGGCCTTTCGTTTTGGGCAACCCGACGAGCTACACTGGGCCGACGCTGACCCCGATGCGTCCGTGTACACCGTCTCGAGTCCCGTACCGTATGCGTCCATGTCCGAGCTTGCAACCGACGAGCCACTCGTGCCAACTGCGACCACTCCAACATTCGAGCCGGCTTCCGATGAGACACCAGTCACCAACGCCGCTCCATCCTATGTTCGCGTCCTGGCTGATTATGCAACGACGACCGAAGGGGAACTCGCGCTGGCCGAGCACGAACTGATCATTGTCGAAGCCATGGACGACAACGGCTGGTGGCTCGGGCACAAGGCGGACGACCTGAGCACAGCCGGCTGGTTCCCGTGCACGTACGTCGAGTGGATGTCGGTGCCGTGCCTCGGCGTCGCTCGGGTGGTTGTCGAAGCTACTCCACGCCAAGATGCCGCGATATCGCTGGGATTGCATGATCTCGTGGTCGTTGCAGAAATCGGCGACGACTGGTTACGGGGACGCTCCGTCGATGGCTATGACACGGGGTGGGTCTTGGCATCGACTGTCGAGTGGTTGCCTCGGGTGGTTTGCCAATGGGCGTACGCATCCAGCCACGAAGCCGAACTGAGTTTGACGCCCGGAGACGTTGTCTATGTCCTTGGCGGCGACGACCAAAACGTTTGGTGGGAGGGCTTCAACCCGACCTTGAACGCCCGCGGGTGGTTTCCAACGACCCACGTCCAGACAGACACGACGGGCGGCGAGGAAGACGAGGATGTCGATGACGATGATGCGAACGCTATTCTTGTCGTGGATCAGGACCTCGTATCATTGTCATGAACAAATATCTATGAGCTAAACACTATCTACATTGTGTAAATGTCGTCGTTGGTCGGCATCGACAACGCGAGAGCGGGTTCCCACGCACGGTTGATGCCTTCTGCCTGCGCAAGGACACACAGCTGCGTGATTGTCTCCCGAGAGTTTTTCGCTCTGTGAACGCGGCCGTCCGGAAGGTAGTCGACGACGTGCACGAGCTTGTGGCTGGCGGAAATTTGGAGCATCGAGAGCATCACTACAGACGTGTCAGCTGAGGTAGTCACACACCGTTTACCTTGGCGAGCCATCCACGCGTCCGTCGCTGCGTACTGGATCTGCGCCAACGAGAGCTCTGAGCACTCCCAGTCTGATGTCTGCATCGCTTTGTCGATGCGGAGGCTTTGCCAGATGAGTCCCAAGGCGGCAAGGTTGGGCTTCAGACACCCAATGCCGGACGCAACGGGTAGCGTATCGAGCGTCGACCGAATCACAGGCGCGATACCGTCCTTTTGGATGCCCTGGAAGTCCGACTTGCAGCCGTGGCCGATCTTGACAATGTTCGCGTCTGCGAGCAGCGCCTGGAGCGCAGGAAACGTTGGCTGGATAACCGTGAGGCCGTCTATTCGGATGTCTTCGCACTTTGCACTTTGAGCAAGGACGCTTGCATACCTTGCGCGGAGGTGTATCGAATGCGGTACAGCAGCGAGAGGTCGTGGCTGGCGACTTGCACCATGGCTACGGGCGGGTCGTACCGGCCAAACATTTGGGGTCGCGACTCGCAGTCGATACCGACGACGCGCATGGACGCAAGCGCGGCAGCGAACGGTGCTTCGTCGTCGGGCGTCGCGATGATGTGAATGGGTCCCGGAAACAACCCCGAGGCGACAGAGACGTAGTCCAAGAGCGATCGGCCGCCAAAGGTTTTGCCAGCGACACTGCCACTGCGGAAGAGCGGCTGCTGCAAGTAGTCGAGCGATTGCTTGCGCGCGTTCTTCTTCTCCATGGCTGCGGCCCATCGGCGCTGCCGGCCTTCGTCGCGCGATGGCTCGCCACGTATCCGGCGCGCTTCGTCGTCGAGGACTCGGTCGATTGCCTTGAGACTCATCGCACTGCCCATGCTAAAAGCGTCGCTGTCTTCTCCATAGGACGGGCGCCCTGCACGCTTGGCGCCTCGGCGGCTGGAGAAGGTCCGAGTAAGCCCGAGCACACTGCGGCGCGCCAGCATCGTTGCCATCGATTTCGCGAGATGTTCATGGCCCCAATCAAAACCCAGGACCCGTCCTCTATAGCCAATCAAATGGGACTTGTGGAAATATTTCAGCCAATCCAGGAACGATTGAATCTAACAATTCCCTCTTTACGAAGGGCAGCATCGTTTTCCAAGAGAGTAGAGCGACGTTGGATTGGTGAAAATGTGTGTTTCATAGCCAATCGTCGTGCGCCAGAGTTAAGATGCTAGCCAATCCTCATCGAGCGGGGCGTAATCGTTTGCCCAATGGCATCAAGCACAGCGGTTTCGACCTGACCTGGCATGGCCGTGACCCAGGAGGTCCGCAGCGAAGAAGCTCAGCTCCAGGCGCTGCAGAAACTGGATGAGGAGTGCGTCCAGCTACAGGTTCAGGTACGAAGGCCCACTGCCGCTGACCGTAGTATCATCCACCGCTGCACCGAGTAGGGCAACTACGTGGCAGCGCTCGAGTGCATGGAACGAGCCCTCGTGCTGCGCCGCCACTTTTTTGGTCTTGCTAGCCCCGAGGTAGCGAGGTATTTGGTCGCGCTATGTCATATGGTTATCAGGTGCGCCATGCGTGCAAGGCTGTCTCGGAGCTTTGCAATTTGCTCTCGATGACGTTTCTGCAGCAAGGTAACAGCTTATTTATCGCAAGAATCCCGAATGCTGGATAGAAAACTACGCCGTGACCATCGAGCTGCTCAAAAAGGCCGAAATTCTCACCGAACATCTTCCCGAAGAGCGTGCCACAACGCTCAACAACATGGCGTGCTACTACCGCCGGTACTCTTTCTTCCTCGCCGACAAATCACTCAAAGAGTCCAGGATTGGCAAGCTCCATGGCGCTCTCAGCTGCCTCAAGCGGGCGCTCGAGATTGAGCTGCGCATCCAAAAGGTGAGTGCGACGGCGGACACGCATTTGAACCTGTGCGCCGTCTACTCGACCATGGGCAAGCACCCGTCGGCGCTCGAGCACGCCCAAGCAGCGCTCATTGTGCTGCACGAAGAGCTCTTTAGCCAAGGTCCGCGATGAAAAGAGAGTGCAAAACTCACGCGCGCGGTAGGGAAAGACTTGCAGCACTTTGACCACCGGCGCGACCGCGTCTCGGTGCTGTGCATTGCGTACCACAACATTGGCGTCGAGTACGAGTACCTCAAGCAGTTTTCCCAGTCGGTTGCGTCCTATCAAAAGGCATGTCAACTGCGGTGCTTGATGTTTTTAGAATATCTTACGCATTGTCGTCGTACTAACCACGGAAGCGTAGGGAGTCGGTATTGCCGAACAGTACCTCGGACCCGCCAACGGAGTCACAATTACACTCACCAACTCGTACACTTCGGGTAAACACAATCACGTACCGATAGTAAATTAATTACGAGGATGGTAGCTCGACGCACGCTGCAGACTAAAGCCAAGCGCGAAGCCAAAGGCAGCCCGACCAAAAAGCATCCAAGCCCAGCCAAGTCGGCCGCTCGCGTCATCGGCGGCAGCTTCGATTTTGATGTGCTTGTATGTTTTTCTCGTGTGATGAATGAAAGGTGCAAGCCCCTTCTAGGGCGGAGAAGGAACTAGTCGGCCCGGCGACCGAAGTCCGTCACGGAAGGAGCTGCCGCCGCTCGCAAGCATAGCCAAGGTCAACGAGGCAGCTGCAGCCACCGTCGCAGCCCCGGCGGCCCCAGCCTTCCTACCACTGACACCCCACAGCGCCTTTTTTAGCCCCCGGTCAGTATCACCGGTCAAGCCACTGAGCCCGCTACCGGACGCGACGCTTACTGTGCTTGACGACGCACCATCTCCGACGCGTCGCAAGATTCTCGAGCCGCTACCAACGCGGACATCTTCGGCAGACGGCGTGCGGCCAATGTCCCCGCAAACGACACTCGACAAGCAACGGCCATTGTCAAGAGCCGATGATAATGGGCTCAGTAGCTGCGCTATGACGCCAGAGGGCTTAGTTTTGTCTGTGCGAGAGAACGAGTCGTCCCCCAAAAGTGCAGCATCGACTCGGGATCGGTCCAAGTCGTCTCGAAGGGAAGAAACGCCAAGCAAGTCGCGACGCTCTTCCAAAGATGGAACAAGCTCGGGACGCAAAACACCGCAGTCGCCGTCCAAAGAATTGCAGTCGTCAACCAAGAGCGCATCGGCTCCGACCGCTTCAAGCCACGAGCAAAGTCTACTAGCGGACGACCATTCGAGTCTGGAGGGCAGCGCTACATCGGCAAGGCCAACGACGGTCTCCGAGGCGAGCGCGTCAGTGGCACCTCGCGATGCTGCGGAACTATCCATGGCGATGGCGGACGAAGCTCGATCTCCGCCAGGTGACGTGGCATTTGCGCTAGCCAACGACGCTGCAGTACCGTTGACTTCGCCGATAATCGAGTCGACACCCTTATGCGCTGCACCAACCAGCGAATCGGCTGCAGAGTCATTGGCACCCGAGGTGTGGGTCGTTGCCGAAACGACAAGTTTGACGTCATCGGACAGCAACGGACAGATGACAGCAGACGAGAGCTCTTCGGGAATGGGCCAGTCATGGACCACGCAAGCGCTGCCTGATGGAAACGGCGAGGCCCTCGTGCAATCAGTTGAGTCAGAAACGTTGGTGGCCAAGACGGTACTGCCTTCTACACCGAAGGCTTTGGCCGACGTCGTCGAGAGTGTTGACGCACCACTGCTGCCACCAGCTCTTGTCAAAGCTGCCTCGGTTGTTGAGTCGGGACCAACCTCAGAAGCTGCGTCAAGTGTGAAGTCTTCAACCGTTATCGAGGGTGAGCGACCAAGTGCTCTTACCGCAACTGCTGACGATCAAGCGTCAACAGTGCGATCCAAAGACACCCTTCGCACGTCGCCGCGCCCAGCGACAGTAGCAGAATTGAAAGAGAGGCAGGTCACGGAAGTCCGGTCATCGTCGGCACCGGCGTCGTTGACCACAAACATGGAAATCCAACCAACGGCCGCTCCGAGTCCTCCACTCGCGTCGTCGGACGCACCAGAGCGCGATGTGTCTACTCCCACGTCACCAACACCCAGCAATGCGCCATCCGAGCTTCCTGCACTGCCACTCTCAGGGGCACTTGCGGAAGGTAGGACGCCCAGTACGTCAGCAACACCGATACATGAGTCGCCGTTGATCACAACACCCGTCGAGCGCCCATCTCGCTGGCTCGAAAACGCACGGCGGGCGTCCGACGTATGCTTGAACAGTGTCGCGCTGAAACTTACAATGACGAGTGTCCCTCCGTACTCAGAGGACGCCGAGGCAGCACCCACAACAACAACGCCAACGAGCTTTGATATGTCGGTCCTCGCGGTCGAGAATCCCGAGAGCTCGCCGTCGATGCAAGAAGCGCCAGTGCCGACTCTCAACGAGGCACCAACGCCTATCGAGACCGCCCTCACAGAATCGATGGCAACACCAAACATTGCGCTCGTGGCGCTGGATGGTTCGCTCGACATGAAGCCCGTTTCCGCGCACGACACTGACGCTCCATCGAGAGCAGCGTCGATCGGTGCTGACGCACACTGCATTGAGAAGCAAGAGTCGAGCGGCGTTGATGGCTTGTCCAGCTCAGTTGAGACGTCCGTGTACGCGGAAGCAAACTCCACTGTTGTCGCAGAGACGCTGCCAGACATTGATCGGGGTTCGACGCCTTTGTCAGGCCGTACGCCGGTGCTCACCGCTGTTGACTTGCCGCTTGTCGTGGCAGAGCCCGAATTTGCGCCCGTTGAGCCCGCAAGTCCATTTGACGCAAGACCGGACGTGGTGACGTTACCAGTGACATCGTCTATCGAAGACATCGCGAGTCCCTCGCACAGCGATCCGGTCGCTAGCAGCACTAGCTACGACGTAACCTTGGTCGCGCAAGAATATCCCCCGGGCGACGAGCCAACGCAGCCAGCGCTTGTGCCTCTCGATTTCGATGACGCGGAAACTGTGAAGCGTGAACGTAAACCACACGAAGCAAATGACCAAGGTGGCGCCAAAGTTCTCGATGGCGGCTTAATCGCAGCAGACGCCCCGATTGCTGAGCCTACCAATGACGAAGAGGTACTTTGTACCGGAGCGATGGATGGTGCGTTGTTGCCGGAAATTCCGACGGATGACGCGTCGCCAGCTGTGGTCGACGCAACGCCACCAGCGCTCACTAATGTGGCGAACGAGCCCGAGTGTACGAATGCAAGCGTCGACGATCGTATCGAGCCATACAGCGAGCAGCCCAGTGCTCAAGAGCCAGAGCCAGCAGAAGCAACAACAGAAGCGGCGTCTCTACCTCAAGATGCCATTCAGGAGACTGTTTCTGTGGCCTCGCTGGCCGGACGTCCCAACACGGACGGCGGTGCTCTCTTGTCATCAACTGCAGCGCCAAAAGAGGTCATCAGGCCCGCCACCACGTCACTAACAACTCCCGCGCTGCAGTCCGAAGAGCCGAACACGGGTGCGCCGTGGGCAGCAACCGAGTCCGAGTACGACGCAGCCTCGTGGGAAGCTCACTGGGCGGCTACAGCAGCTGACGACGGGCAATGCGCTGCGTTTACAGGGGCATCGTTGCTCGAAGAACCAGCTCGGCAGCCGTGGGCAGAAGGGTATGAACAGCCGTACGGACCAGAGTACACGCAAGAAGCACTACATTGGAGCAACACAAGTGACATTGGAGCCGGCGTTGGCGACTACAGTCAAAGCCCTGAACCAGCAATGACGGCAGCAAGCGAATCGGCCGGCACGATTGAGCTCACACCCACGCATGACCACGCTACCACGTCAACATTGATGGCGCACGACGCTGTCGATGATGGCACGACCAAGCATGCAAGCCATGAGACGCCACTGGGAACTGGCCAAGAATCGTTGACGACGGCCCAGACCCAGGGAGCGCCGTTGAACCAAGTCAAAGTTTCTTCTGAGACGCTAGTCGTCGCGGCCGACTCGTTCATGCTGTAAAATACACACATCGATTGGTCGGATTACGGGCGTCTATGAAATGAACCTTTGCAGGCAGCGCTAGGCTTGCTTGGCCTTGGTCACGTATGGGTACTTGCTGTAGATGACCATACTCGATACAACGAGCGCCGTCGCAATGCCCATGCGCAGCGAAAGCACCGGGGCGTCCGTGTCAAGCAGCGCCTCGGCGACCGCCGTGAGGAGGATACCGCCGATGAGTGCGTACGACTTCATGATCCCGCCCGCCAGCTGCGTCACCTGCTCCACGATATTAGAATGGACTCATTTCGCCAGGTTGAGATGTACCGTGCCGACGAGCAGCCCGCCAAGCGCGTTGGTAAACACGGGGATGAGCGTCCATGACGTCCAGCCGCCGAAGTCCAAGGTGGCGCCGGGAGCGGCGGCAAGGTTGGCGAGCAGGAAGACAGCGCCGAAGACACAGAGCTCAATCGTCACCAGCGACGCATCGCGACCATGCGTTTGCAGCGAAAGCTGCGTGAGCGCAGCACCGACGCCCGACAAGACGGAGGCGCCGACGACAGGGACGTAGCCGTAGTAGAAGCGCGTGGATGAAATCGTTATGGCCTCGACGTTAGCATCGCTGGCAGCAGAAGGCGCCGATAGGAGGACGGACGCCAGCAGCAGCATGCCCATGGCACCTACCAGTCAATGCCACGTCAGCTCCAACGGCCATTGCAGAGATTGATTGCACCGCATTGCTGGAGGGAGAAGGGCTTGTGGAGAAAGAGATAGACGAAAAGCGCCGTCCAGAGCAGCTTGGTCTGGTTGATCAAGTTGAACTCGAGTGGCGAGAGGTGTTGCATCGCGAGCTGGATAAGCACGTTCTGAATCGCGTACGTCACAGCGGGTAGCCCCGAGAGGCGAAGGCTGTCACGCAGTGTCCAGTGGCGCACGAGGTCTGGCGTCGTCCGGGCCTTGACCACAAGCGTGGTGGTGGCAAGTAGGAGCTTGGCGCCTTCTCCGACGACGACAAGCATCGTGCGGCTGGCGACTTGGCCAGCGAAAGCACGGTTCAGTAGCGGCTGCAGGCCAAACTGCAGTGCCAGAGCTGCCATGCACGCGGCCGCCTTCATGGTGCAAATTCAGTTGACTAAAAACACGCCATTTTCGATGGTCCTAGCGGGTTGTTGTTCGATCTCTCGGTCCAACGGTGCGTGTTTTCAGCGGCCCGTCTCGAACATTAGCGCGCCGACGGCCTGTCTGCGTGGGCCCGGCAACGAGTACTGTGCCGTGCTCAGATCGCGCCGAGTTCTCGCCCAACGTCGGATCGCTGCATCTCGTCTGCATCTCCGGAGTAGCCAGCGCGAACGTGGGGTGCGCAGCTGCTGAACCATCGCAGCTGCTTCAACCTGTCGCCTTCCATGCTTGCAGCTCATGCTTGCCAAGATCGAGTGATTGATCCGCTAGTCTACATGTTGGTCGCTTATAATGATCATCGTCTAATACTGCTAGTGCTACATCGTCGTCCTACCCTAATCGTCTCCTCTAACTGCTAATAAATCCTACGCTACTATGGTATACTATCTAGGCCGCCACGAGCGACGCTTGGCTCATCGCAATCGCCTGCGCCAGCATCTCGGGCGTCAGGACGAGCTTGGATGTCGTCTCCTCCTTGATCTCGCCTTCTTCGACCGACATGTCGACGTCTTCGTCCGTGCCAGTCGTCACCGCCGACGTGTCGAGCGTCATGAGAATGTCGAGAACCTTGATGAGCTCCGACGCCTTCTCCTTCGGGCTCTGGACCGACCGGAAGACCTGGGCGAGGTGCGCCTGCGCGCAGAGCCGCGCGACCACGTTGTTGACCGTCGAGTTGGGCTGGTCGTTCAGAATGAGCTGCGTAATGTGCAAAAAGACATCGCAGGGCAGCTTGACGATCCAGTGCATCGTGTCGTGCTCGTACGGGTACCGCTGCGCAATCGCGTTGACGCAGAGGGCCATCATGCGGTCCGTCGACTGGTTGCGGAGGCACTTGCGCACCTCGACGACCTGCAGCAGCATCTGCACCACGTCCATGCCCGAGCCCGCGTGCGCCAGCGTCTCGAGCAGCGTCGCGCAGCGAGACGTGAGCGCCACATGCATCTTGAGGATGCGCGCCGCGCAGTACAAGAGCGCAACGTTGGTCGCGTTGATGTCCATGTTGCCCGTGTACGCGTAGATGCAGGCGAGCTCAAAGGCCGCGGCGCCGCCGGGGAAGTGCGCGTACTTGAGGACGGCAATGCTGCCGTCGTCCGACTGGGGCTGCTGCTTGAGCTTCGAGCGCAGCTCGGGGCAAGCGACGAGCATTGGGAACCGGTGCAAGTTGAACTGAGTGCCCTCGACAACGACGATGAGGTTGCACGTCGACCGGCGCGACGCCCACTCGGGGTATTCGCAGAGCGCGGGCGTGCCGAGGGCGGGCGCGGTCGTCGCCTTCTTCGTGTGCTTGAGGGCTGGCGACGGCAGAGCCGAAAGCATCTTAGCGACCTTCTTCTTCATCTTGAGCGCATCAATGACAGGCTTGCCATGGACGTCAACGTTGGCCTGGCGCTTGCGGCGCTTGGCCTCGGCAGCGCTGTTGGGCGTGAGAGGCTTGGGGGTGCTCTTGGACTCAAGGACAGGCGCGAGGGCGGGCGCGACGATCGTGAGGACGGTAGGCTTGGGCGCGTGCTCAATCGGCGAAAGCGCCGGTTCGGACGCCGAAACACTCGAGTCGGTTTCGTCGAGCGCACGCTTGGCCTTCAGACTTCGGGACTGCGACGAGACAAGGTTGCGGCAATGGCAGCACGTGGCGCGCGTGCTGTGAAGGCACGTGTCATCCTTCGGGCACCCGAGACGCTTGCACGACTTGCCCGAGCCTTCGCGGCGCACGCCACACTTGCCGCCTTCATGCTGGCCGCAGCGGCCGTCGCACGTGCAGTGCATGCACTCGCCCGGTCGCTGGGAGCAGTTGGGCAGTGAGCAGCTCTTCCGCAGCTTCCGCGACGTCGAGAGGACCTTGTCAAACGCAGCCGACGACGTGTGGTGGTGCGAGAGAAACGACGTGGCCGGCTCAGCGACTGGAGAGACGAGGATGAGGCGCGTGGCCGCCAGGAAGAGCGTCGATCTTACCGAGGTCGGTGCTCTTGGCGTACGCCAGCGTCGGGAGGTCGTTGGGAGACATGCTAGCGCCCGCACGGAAATAAGAACGCGGTCGAGTATTCGAAAATGATGGCAAGCGGCTTGGTCGCGCTCGATGTACCCAAGTTACACAGCCCACTCTATACGCCATACTCAACCCAAGATGTTTTTGGATTCAACGAATCCGAGCTACTAGCGCGACCATGTGATTGGCCGTTTTTTAATCGCGAGCATACTTTAATCCAATGAAACGCGGCGTTCTCTGTCACAATCCTTTCTCGAGCTTTGCGCGAGATTACATACTGGCGCTCCTCCCATCCTCCAGCCTTGCGCGCAAGAAGCAAGCGACCGATGGTGTTCTTCCCGTGCCAAGAGTACGCAGGCTCGACGCAGATAGCGTCGGTCGGCTCTGGTCCGCCTGCTGGAGCGGCCGCCATGTGCTGCGGCCGAATTTTTTTGAGTGCGTCGCCCAGCTGAGGCCACCGTAGTAGAGGAATGATACCCCAGCTTCATTCTTATCGATGGCGTCGCCAAGCCAGAGTTTGCCAACGCGAGAGACCCATTGGTCACAGCAACACACGCCCGGCGCACAAAAACGACCGCGCAGAGGCGTGTCTGTGCAAATGCGCCCACGAGGCCGCCACGCGCTGCGACATGTGGCCGCGGATCAGGTCCCGTGCTGAGGTCGCTTTGCGCGGCGAATCTGCAGGGTTGGTCGCCTGGTTTTATTCTTCGTGGCGAATAAAAATGCGGTGAAATAGAATGCAAAACGACCGACGCGCACCAGCTGGTAGAATACAAACACGAGGTATGCGGGAATAGAAACGACGCACGACAGCATTAAAAACGGTTCTTAAATGACGTACGACACGCATTAAAACCAAGGTTGACATGTGCGTCATCCCAAATGATCGAGGTCGCCGAACCCGTCCTGTCCGCACGTTGAAGCATCAACCGACCAACATCGTTGGCAAGGATGCTTCGTCCTCCAGTGCGAGCAAGATCGTGGTACGCCGCTGCCTCGAGAATTGCGGCAAGCTCTTGGCACCTGCGCATCGAACGTGCCGAATCGGAGGTGGATCGGCTATCATCACGCTTGATCGAATGCCCCACATGAACGGTACTACTGCAACTCGATGACGGGTTTCGCAGGCGACGCGCCGACGGCGTTGTCACAGGCGTGGGTGGCGGCGGTTCTTTATGACTGCCTCGTCCACGCTGTCGATCCACTTGCATCGCAAGCATTAGGCCTTCGGTCCGCTCTCCACGTGGCTGCTGGCGACGGCGAGAGGCTCGGACGCACGGATGCGCTCTGCCACTGGCGACTGCACGATCGCCATCCTCGGCCCACGCGCGGCAGCATCCACCACCACCGAGTACTGTGCAGTTGCCGGGGTGTCATTGACACGGTCGCGCTTCCATGCCACACAAATCCTTGGAGATTGGATATTTCAGTATTCGTTTATAGAGGTAGCTTGATACGCATGCAATGTGAGAGGTTAGATACCATTTTATGGTATCTGACGTCTCATATTCCATGCGTATCAAGCGACGGTTGGATTTCCACAAAAATTTTGTGGAGGTTCAAATCCAACCGTCGCGGCTGTTACGATCCGCTACATCATGGAGGACGGCCGGCGGCTGCATGCGGTGGTGCCAACCGCGCCGACGCGGCCGCGGAACACGCCGCCGACAACGCCGACGCCACCGCCCAAGCGTCTCTCGCGCATCCTCAACCTGCACGACATGAAGAAAGCGCAGCAGCCGGCCGTCGACACGCCCGAGAGGGCCCAGCTCGCCGAGCGCATCTACGCCAAGGGCGTCAAGCGCTCGCTTCAGCACACGGCCATGTACCCATCTAAAGCTACGTCCAACGCGGCCAAGATGGGGTCGTTTGTCGCGACGCCCCTCGTCACGCGACCAGCGGCCGATAAAGTGCTGGTGCCCCGGCGCCCGGCCCCGGCGTCACCGACGACCATGCCACCAGTGCAGCTCGGCTTTCAGCCTTCGAAATGTACCTCGCCTCGCGTCGCTGACGCGGTAAGCCGCGTTGCCGCGCCACCGCTGAGTGCGCGCGACGCCTTTTACTTGAGCCAACGTCCGCCTTCGACGCCAAAGAAGCCCGCACCCGTTGTAGCTGCCGTGACGCCGCCAGCGGTGGTTGTCGAGGACCGACCAACGCGCGCGACGCTGCTTCACAAGTCGACGCACTTGCAGACTTTCACGGAACGGGTCGAAGCAAGCATTGCAGTGCCGGGCGGTGTGCCAGCAGACGCGTTCTTGTACTTGCGGAGCGCCGAGGACGACCCGTACGATCTGCGTGTGGTCGACCACGACAGCATCGACAGCAGCAACTACTACACGATGAGTCGAGCAGGTGTCACCCACTTTACGGGTCACGGGCAGCCCGAATTCACGCGCCTTGAGGCGTTTGAGCGCGAACACTACATGTTTACGCTCGTGCGCCAGATCCCCTTCTTCCAAACGTACCGCATCTGGAAACAGTTCCGCCGCTGGAAGGTCAACGTCCGTGCCGTCAAGACCCGCGCGGCCACCTACATGCTGCAGCACGAGCTCTTTGTGCTGCGCCCAACGTGCGTTGCAATGCATGGACTCCGGATCGCTCATGAAGCACGTAGGCTGCATTCGGCGCTCATGGAGCTCCGCGCGCAGTGCTACAACATGAGTCTTTTGCGCATCTTTGGCATAAATGCGACCCAGACGTACACGTTGAGCGACTTTACCGAGACGCAGCAGGCGCAGATCCTTGCGACGGACAACGCGATCGGCGTCATGGTCTGCGATATCCTGGCGACGACGCAAGCCACGTGCAACGCCTTTCTTCGCGCCTTCTTGCTCGAGAACGGCTTTACGACGCAAACCGAGCTGCCCGACGACGTCAGTCGCGTCTTGAGCCAGCTCGCGTCACCACCAAATGACGAAGACGACACCGCTACCACTAGCGAAGCGAGTCGGCGGTCAGTCACGTGGGCCAACGGCCGTGTCGTGACGTTCACCGAGCGCGCGGCGATGCGCACGCAGTGCCGAAGCGTTGTCAAGCTCATTCGGCTTGTCGAGTTTTTCGTTGTCGACTCCCTCCTCCTCCTCGGGCTCTGCAGCACGCACGAGCTGCTCTCGGAAATGCAGCACATTGTTCAGGCCGTGGACGACGTGGCGCCGCCGCCTCAGCCGATTGGCGGGAAATTGCTTCTCAAGCCGCCGCCTCCCATCGTACCGCTCTTCCGTGTTGAGGTGCGCTTGCACTTGACCACGCTCCACGACGGCAGCGTGCGGTCGCAGCTGCTGTTCGACCCGAGCTGCGAGGAGCTGCGTGCTGAACTCGAAGGCGTCATCAGCGCCGGTCTTCGGGCTGCGACATCGCGGCCACGGCTCATGGCCGACGCAGGCTTCGACCCGTATGTGCAGTCGACGCTGGACGATGACGTGGGCGAGCTCAGCCCGGGCTTGAACCTCGATATGATGGTGATGGAGGACGCGGCGCTCCAGGACCTCCTCGCCCGCATCTCGGGCGTCGTCACGAGAGCGTTCGATGCGCTCGCAGTGTTCGCCAAGGGCCTCTCGCGCTTCGAGGCGCAGTACATTGCCAACCTCGCCTTCATGAAGGTCGCGGGCGACGTCGAGCACCCGGTCAACCTAGGCCGGTCCATCGACGACTTGCGCGACCAGCTGGAGGCCTACTCGACGCAGATGACGCAGTTCGAGGCGCTGCCCGACACAACGACCGTCGGTCTGCTTCTCGCCGACTGCAAGGACCTCAACGACCTCCTCAAGCCAAGCCCACGGGCCTGTATGCACTGCCTGCATACGCTAATTCCCCGCATTGCGCAGTACAAGGTACCTGACACGCACAAAATGATGGTTCGGACGTTGGGTGTAGAACGAGGAGCTGCTGACCGAAGTCTCGCGCGCCAACGACGCGATTGCTTCGATCCCGACGTCGGTCGACGAGTACGCGGCTGCGGTTGTGGCGCTGCGCGAGACGGAGGCGCGCATGGGCGACCTGGACGACCGGTACATGTTTCTCAAGCAGCTGTATGCGCTCACGGACGAATTCAAGATACCGGTACGCTGCGTGTACCGGGAACATTTCGAAATCATGCGAGCAGGTGTCGGACCTCGATGCCACCAATGCGTTCATGCTGGCGCAGAAGCGTGCGCAGCTCAAGACGTCGATGGATCTCTTGGAGAGCGGGTCGGACGCGTACACGGACAAGTTTTCCAAGGAGCTCGACAAGAAAATCTCAAAGCTCAATACGCTCGTCAACGAACGGTACCGTCTTATCGGTAGCGCCACGTACAACGATATCGCGTAGACGGGATGAGCTCCATAACGCAGCGCTCGTGGCCGTCGGTAACGACGCCGCCGAGGTCCTAACCCACTTGCAAGGCATCGACGGACGCCTGCAAGAGTCGGAGTCGATCGGCGCCAAGTACATTGAGTTTCAGAAAGTGCTGGGGCTCGCACAAAGCTCGTTTCAAGACTTGGACGAGCTGCGGTACGACCAAATGCACGTCGATGCCAAGCTCAAGCGTTCTACAGTGCGGACCTCGAAGTCAAAAAGCTGCTTTGGACGACGGTCCAGGCGTGGGCGGCGGCTTCCGAAGCGTGGAGAGACACACTTTTGTCCGACGTCAACGTTCCGGATGTCGACGAGCGCGTCAACAGTTTTTACAAGACGACACTCGCGTGCGAGCGGGGCCTCCCAGGCAACGCCGTCGTGCGGCAGCTGCGCGAGACGGTCGAGTCGTTCAAGGACGCGCTGCCAATAGTCGCCGACCTTCGCTGTCTCCACTTGCGTCCCCGGCACTGGGCAGCGGTGCGCCTTTGTTGCTGCAGAAACCTTTCGATCCCTAGCATGTAGATCAGCGCTGTCTTGCACTTTGACGTGCTCGCAGATCCCTCGCTGACGCTCGGGCGATTTGTCAGCATGCACTTGCACGCGAGTGCGCCGGCCGTCAACCGCATTGCCACCGAGGCGACGCAGGAGGCGACGCTGGAGGCAACCCTCGCTCGCATCAATGGGCTCTGGGCCGAGCTCTCGTTCGATGTCAAGTGCCACAACGACCGTCGCGATGTGTATGTGCTCGGGCCCACGGACGACATTGCGAGCGCGCTCGAGGAAAGCCTCGTCTCGATGAGCACCGTCCTCGCGTCGCGCTTTGTGGAGCCCGTGCGCGACGAGGCGCTGGCTTTGCACCGCCGATTGGTGCTCTTTCAAGGTATCAAGTTTGGAGCTATGTCGGTCTTGCTGAGAGGTATGCGTAGAGACGCTCGATGAGTGGCTGACGTGCCAGCGAGAGTGGATCTACCTCGAATCCATCTTCATGGCGCCCGACATCCAGCGCCAGTTGCCGCAGGAGGCGCAAACATTTGGTACCATCAACACCTTTTGGAAGGAGCTACTGCTGCGCGCGCACGAGACGCCGCTGTGCATGAAGGCGACAGCGCAACCGGGGCTCATTGAGACGCTTGTCAAGCACAACGGTACGTGCCCGTGAAGAGGACGGTGTTGTTACGAGACTGCGTAGCGTCGCTCGAGAAGCTGCGCAAGTCGCTGGAAGACTACCTCGAGACGAAGCGCATGGCGTTTCCGCGCTTTTACTTTCTCGCGAACGACGAGCTGCTCGAGATCCTGGCGCACACGAAGGAGCCATTGGCGGTGCAGCCGCACTTGTGCAAGTTCTTTGACGGTATCGTGCGCCTCGAGTTTGGCGAGGCCCACGGCTCGATCGACATTCTCGCCATGCACTCGGCCGAGGGCGAGCGTGTTCCATTTGGCCGCAACCTCAAGGCGCGCGGCAACGTCGAGGACTGGCTCGCTGCCGTGCAAGCCAATATGAAGCAGACGCTGCACCGCGCGCTCAAAGGTACTACGCTGTCCGTGAATCGATCTAGAGTCAGTGAGATATGTAGTGTGCGTCGGGGACTACGACCACGGCCAGCGGGACTCGTGGCTGCTGCACCACCCTGCGCAATGCGTCGCCAGCGTCACGTACATGGTTTGGGCGCGCGAGTGCGAGGCAGCACTGCCCTTGCCGGGCGGCGTCGACAAGTACCGGCAACTTGTGCTTGTTCAGTTGACCGGCCTCACGCGCCTCATTCGGTCGTCGCTGACTCGGCTCCAGCGGTGCGTCGTCACGTCGCTCGTCACGACGGACGTGCACGCAAGAGACATTTTGAGCGACCTCATTGCGCTCAACGTCACGTCAACCCACGACTTCAATTGGAAAAAGCAGCTGCGGTAGCGCGACGCTCGGCTCCTTGCATCCGTTGATGGCGCGCTGTAGGTACGGCTGGAACGCCGACGTCGACGACGTGACGATCGCGCAGTCCAATGTTCGCATTCGCTACGGCTACGAGTACATGGGAGCTTGTGCTCGCCTTGTCATAACACCGCTGACGGACCGTTGCTGGATGACTATCACAGGCGCGTACGACCTCAAGCTCGGTGCTGCACCGTCGGGCCCGGCCGGCACCGGTAGGGTGCAAGTGTCGACTCGGTGTCTAACGTTTTGCAGGCAAGACCGAGACGTCGAAAGACCTCGCCAAAGCACTCGCGATCCAGTGCATCGTCTTCAACTGCTCGGACCAGATCGACTACAAGACTATGGCCAAGCTGTTTTGCGGCCTCGCGCAGTGCGGGTGCTGGTCTTGCCTCGACGAGTTCAATCGCATCGACATTGAGGTGCTCTCGGTCATCGCGCAGCAGCTCATGCTCCTACGCCGCGGTCGCTTGGTCGGCGCTGCCGAGGTCTCATTCGAGGGCCGCGTGATCACATTGCGGGACCACCACGTCATCGTGACCATGAACCCGGGCTACGCCGGTCGGACCGAGTTGCCCGACAATCTCAAGGTGCATTTCGTTGTTGCTGCAGTCGTGGAAGTCTCGTCGCTAGATTTGCTTCCGGCCCGTCTCGATGATGGTGCCAGACTACGCGCTCATCGCCGAGATCATGCTCGTTGGCGAGGGCTTTGACGATGCAAGAGGCCTCTCGCACAAGATCACCAAGCTCTACAAACTCTGCAGCGAGCAGCTAAGCCAGCAGCCGCACTACGACTTTGGCATGCGAGCGGTCAAGACAGTGCTTCTCATGGCGGGTAGCCTCAAGCGTCAATCCACGGCAGCATCGAGCAGCAGCAGCAGCGAGGATGCCGTGATCCTCAGGGCGCTGCGCGACGCCAACACGCCCAAGTTCACATCCAACGATCTCCGGCTCTTTGGCGCGATACTGCGTGACCTCTTTCCCCTCATGCATGTGCCCGAGTCGCTCTCGACGGCGCTGGAGGACGCGGTTTTGACGCAGACGCGACTGCTAAAGTATACATACCTTGCTAGGTTGGTGCTTTTCGACGACTCCCGTTAGGCTGCAGGAGGTGGCCGCCCTCACGCGAAAGACGATCGAGCTCTTTGACATGCTGCAAGTGCGCGTCGGTATTGCGCTCACAGGAGAGAGCGGCAGTGGTAAAACGACGAGCTACGAGCTGCTGCGCCGGTCCATGGGCGACCTCCGCGACAACGCCGATAGCAGCGACAAGCGCTATCAGCGCGTCGTGCTCACGGTGCTGAACCCCAAGTGCGTGAGCTTGGGCGAGCTCTACGGAAGCTTTCACCCTGTCACACGCGAGTGGAAGGATGGACTCGCTTCGGCGCTTCTCCGTGGTATCATTGCCGACGCCGTGGTGCGTGAAAACGTTCTTTCGACAGGTTCTCACGGTTCGATGCTAGGACGTCAAGACGGGTGTCGAGAAGGCGTCTTTACCGTGGCTCGTCTTTGACGGACCCATTGATGCGTCCTGGATCGAGAACCTCAACACCGTCCTCGACGACAACATGACGTTGTGCTTGGCCAGCGGCGAGCGCATCCGGCTTCTTCCTCACGTAGCTCCGACCCGCTGGTAGCAAGGACTCATATGGCGTAGATACGTCTGCTTTTTGAAGTGAGTGACCTCGCATCAGCGTCGCCCGCCAGTGTCTCGCGCCTCGGCGTCGTGTACTTTGCGCCCATGACGCTTGGGTGGCGGCCGTTTGTCGAGTCGTGGCTCAACGAGACGCTCGGGTCGGACGTCGACCCCAAGGACGTGTCGCACAAGCTCCGAAGTCGCGTGAGCAAGGCGCTCGAAGTTCTCTTTGAGGCGCTGACGTCGGTGCATCAACGCCAAGTGTTGCCCACGACGCTCCTGAGCTGCGTCGTCAACGCGTGTGAAATGATCTCGCTGCTCCTTGAGAAACAAAGCCGGTGGTTTTCCACAGCGACCGCCGAAAAGCAAGCCAAGTGCATGGATCTTCTCGTCGTCTTTGCCGTGCAGTGGGCATTCGGCGCCAACGTGCACGAAGACGACGCGACGGTCTTCAACGACCAGCTTCTCACCATCCTCAGCGAGCATCGGAGTCTGTTTCACAACAGCCTCCTTCATGTTCGTCGTCTCTCTTGTTTGTGACTCGATGCCGATCTGTCGTAGGTGGTTGGAAAGAGCAGCGGTGGGCCCATGAGCTGCAGTGGCACCGGCGCCTTGCGCACGGCGGCCGTGCTCTCGGAGTTTTGCATCGACTTTGCGGACCTTGGGTGGAGCCACTGGGAGAACCACGTGCCGCCCTTCCAGTACGCTATGCACACGCCGATTTTTAACCTGCTCGTGCCAACGGTCGACGTCACCAAGACGTCGTACCTCCTCTCGCTACTGGTTTGTGTGTAGTTGTCACGAAATTTTCATATTTGGTTAGGTTGGCGGCATGAGACCCATGTTGCTGGCAGGCGAGACGGGCGGAGGCAAGACAGTCATTGCGCACGCCGTCATCGACGCCCTCGCCCTACACGGCGACGACGCAGGCATCGGTGTCATTCCTCTCTACATGCACTTTTCGGCGCAGACGTCGAGCGCTGTGACCCAAGCCACGATCGAAGCCAAACTTGTCAAGAAGCGCAAAACGCTGCTCGGCGCGCCCGTCGGTCACAAGATCGTGCTGTTTGTCGACGACATCAACCTTCCAGCGGCGGACGCGCACGGGTCGCAGCCGTGCCTCGAACTCCTTCGCCAGCTTCTGACGCACCACGGCGTCTATGACCGTGACAAGTACTTCTGGAAAGAGATTGCCGACACAGTGCTCGTCGCCGCTGGTGGCCCACCCGGTACGCTCCGCACGCTCGTACCGACCGACAAGTCGTTTTTGTCTAGGCGGCGGTCGCCAGGCCATGTCGCCACGGCTGCTGCGGCACTTTACGATCGTGGCGCTGCCGGTGGGAAGCGACAATGCGATGCGAACGATCTTTCACGCGATTGTGCTGGGACACGCGACTTCTCTAGCGTTTCCGCCGCCAGTGCGAGACTCGGTGCTCCAGACCGTCGACGCGACGCTCAAACTCTACGCGGCCGTGACGGAGACGCTGCGGCCGACGCCAGCCAAGTGCCACTACGTCTTCAACCTGCGCGACGTGGCCAAGGTGTTTGCCGGCATCCTCCACACGCGGTCGACGTGGACGACCGAGAGTATTGTCAAGCTCTGGCTGCACGAAAGCATGCGGGTCTTCTACGACCGTCTCGTGAGCGCCGCCGACCGGCACTGGCTGACGACGACGCTCATTGCGCTTCTCAACAAGAGTTTCCGCGTCAATTGGAGCCACGACCAAATCTTTGGGTCCGACGACGTGATTCCCGTGCTCTTTGGCTGCTACGGGTCCGGTACGATCAAGGGCTACGAAGAGATCACCGACATGGGCTCGCTCGAAGCGCTCTTGTCGTCGTACGTTGCGGATTACAACACGTTTCGGACGCCGACCTTGCAGCTCGTCTTCTTCCGCGATACGATTCTCCACGTCTCGTCCCTCGCGCGCGTCCTCCTCCAGCCGCGCGGCCACGCCATGCTCGTCGGTGTCGGCGGCTCTGGGAAGCGGTCGCTCGCGCGTCTCGCAGCCTCCATGATGGACATGACATGTACCGAGATTGCTATGGGCCGTTCATACGGGCGCAGCGACTTTCGCGACGACCTCAAGAAGCTTTTGGTCGCGGCCGGCGCCAAAGGCAAGGAGACCGTTCTTCTCTTGCACGAGTCGCAGCTGCAGTGCGACGAGTTTGTCCAAGACGTCAACTCCCTTTTGAATGCTGGCGAAATTCCGCACTTGTTTACGCACGAAGAAGCCGAGGCGATCCAAGCCGACATGAAGTCGGCGGTCGCAGACGCCGGCCTTGAAGACACGAGAGCCAACGCCGAGAGCCTCTTTCTGCAGCGCGTCCGGGGCCTCCTGCACGTCGTCTTGTGTTTCTCGCCCGTCGGTCACGGGTTCCGCCTCCGGTGTCGGCAGTTTCCGTCGCTTCTCAACTGCACAACCATCGACTGGTACGACGCGTGGCCGGCGTCTGCCCTCGTGGTTGTCGCTGAGAGCTATCTTGGCGACGTCGAGCTCGCGTCCGAGACGGCGCGGGCCGGCCTCGTCGCGATGTTTGCGCGCGTGCACGAGACGCTGCAGGAATCTGCCGCCAAGTTTCTCGCGATATGCCAGCGCCACGTGTACATCACACCCAAGGCGTACCTCGATACGATTCGCCTCTACCTGCGCATGCTGTCTGAGAAGCGGTGGCTGGCCAAAGAGGCCTACGACCGCCTCTCGGCCGGCGTCGTCAAGCTCGAAGACACAAACGAGCTCGTTGCGCGCCTCCAAGTCGAGCTTACCAACCTTCAGCCCATTCTTGCCGCCAAGGCGCTCGAAGCCGAGGCGCTTCTGAAGCAAGTGGCCATTGACCAGGCGGAGGCCGCCATCGTCGAGCAGCGGGTACGTTCTTCGTCCACGACAAGTTGACGCAACTGGGCGTCTAGGTGAGCCACGACGAGTCGATAGTGAAAGCGCAGGCCGTGGACGTTGCCGAGTGCCAAGCCGACGCTCTGCGGGATCTCGAGATCGCGATGCCAGCGCTCAACGCTGCCGTTCAGGCGCTCGACTCGCTCGACAAGAAGGACATTACCGAAGTCAAGAGCTTCACCAAACCGCCGCAAGCAGTCCAGGTACGTATTTCCTTTGAGCGCCAGAGACTGGAGGAAAGTGCTAGGTCGTCATGGAGGCCGTGTGCATCATGCTGGGCGAGAAACCAGATTGGGACACGAGCAAGCGCGTGCTCTCCAAGCCGTCGTTCATGGCCGAGCTCAAGGAGTTTGACAAGGACAACATTCCGCCCAAGACGCTCCTCCGCATCAAAAAGTACATTGAGAACCCCGACTTTGCGGTCGACGAGGTGAAGAAAGTGTCGCACGCCGCCATGTCGCTCTGCATGTGGATCCACGCCATGGACATGTACGCGCGCGTGAGCAAGGAAGTCGCGCCCAAGAAGGAGCGGCTCGCGGTCATGAACGCGACGCTGGCCGAAGCCAACGCCAAACTCAACGCCAAGCAGACCGAGCTTGCCCAGGTACACTCTCCTTATTATAAGCCTCGATCCCACAGAAGCACGATAGGTCATGGCCCGCGTCCATGGCCTCCAGGCGCAGTGCGACGGTGTCGTCGCCGAAAAGAGGCGCCTCGCAGACGAAGCGGAGCTCACACGCGCACGCCTCTCTCGGGCCGAGAAGCTCACGGTCGGGCTTGCTGACGAACTCGTGCGCTGGAAAGCGAGCCTCGAGGTACGATGTGAAATATGGAGCCGAGGTTCATTCCAGTGCGCAGGTCATGGCCGCCGACGAAGTGAATTTGGTTGGCGACGTCTTCTTGTCGGCAGCTTGCATTGCGTACTTGGGACCGTTCGACGGCACGTTTCGGCTCAGTCTTCAGCGTCTCTGGCACGACGCGATGGCTGGCGCGCAGCTTCCGACAAGTGCTTCAACGTCGCTCCTCGTAACGTGCTCGGACGCGTCGCAGCTGCGCGAGTGGCAGCTCAACGGTCTCCCCACGGATGCAACGTCGGGCGAGAATGCTGTCATGGTCTTCCGCGGCGAGCGCTGGCCGCTCTTGATCGACCCGCAGCAGCAGGCGCGCCAGTGGCTCTTCAAGACCGAGGGTGCGTTCGGTCTCCACGTCATCAAGCTGCACGACAAGAGTCTTCTGAGTGCCATCGAGGGCTGCGTTCGGGACGGAAATCCGCTTGTGCTGGACGACGTGGGCGAGACGTTGGACGCGGCGCTTGACCCACTGCTCTTGAAGGCGCTCACCAAACATGGAGGTATATCATGCCATCTCTAATGTTGCGCTCAGGCCCGTGCGTAGGCAAATACGTGCTGCGTGTGGGCGACCACGACGTCGTGTACGACCGCAACTTCCGAGTCTACCTCTTGACCAAGCTGCCGAATCCGCACTTTTTACCCGACGTGTGCATCAAAGTGAACGTGATCAACTTCACCGTGACCAAAGAAGGTAGACGACGATTTGGTTGGGAAGAGGTTGTAGCAGAGTACTACATTAGGGCTCCAGGACCAACTGCTGGGAGACGTTGTGCGCAAGGAGCAGCCCGAAATTGAAGCCAAGATGCACGCACTCCTCGCTTCGATTGCGACCGACCAAAAGCTCTTGAAAGCCATCGAGTCGAAGATTCTCAGCCTCCTCTCGACTTCGCAAGGCAACATCCTCGACGACCAGGTACTTACGCCTTGCCCACTTTGAAGCTAGCTGCGAGTAGGTTCTCATCACCACGCTCGCCGAGTCCAAGAAGACTGCGACCGTCGTCTCGGAGCGTCTTGCCGAGTCCGAAGTAACACGCGCCGCGATCGCCGACGTCCGCAACCAGTACCTTTCCGTCGCTGTCCGAGGCTCGTTGCTCTACTTTGTCTTGGCCGACCTGGCGACCATCGACCCCATGTACCAGTACTCGCTCGCGTACTTTAAGCGCCTCTTCAACCAAAGCATGCACGAATGTCCCAAAAGCTCGACGCAGGAGCTGCGCTTAGCGGCGCTCGTCGACGGGCAGACGCAAACTGTCTTTGTCGACGTATCAAGAGGACTCTTTGGGGACCACAAGCTGCTCTTCTCGCTTCTCATGGCGCTGCGCATTCTCAGTGATGCTGGCCAGATCGCGCCATCGGAGCTTCCGCTGCTCTACCGCCCACAACCTGCCGTGTCCGCTACAGAGCCAACGCCGTTGCCGCTCAAGGCCTACGAAGCGCTGCTAGCACTGAGCAGCGCACTCCCGCTCTTTGCTGCGCTATCGGTGGGCACCTCGCAGCCAGGAGACGGTGCTAAAGCTTTGTCGTAGGACTCTGTTGCTGCGACATCGGCCGCGTGGCAATCGTGGCTCTCCAGCGACGACCCGTATACGAGCACGCTACCCGAGGGCTTCGAGAGTCTTTTGTCTCCGTTCCTAAAGCTCGTTCTTTCGAGCGCTTTGCGACCAGAGAAAGGCGTGCAGAGCGTGCTGGGCTTCATATCTGCGACCTTGGGGTACGCTCGCTCGAGTCGGTACACGGTGTTGAGTGAGCTAGGGCCACGTTCACGGCCCAACAGGCTTTTGCCATGACGGACGTGTTTCCGGCGCTCGACAAGAACGTTCCGTGTGTCTTTATCTTGTCATCGGGCGCGGACCCGACAGCCATTTTGCACCGATTCGCGGCCGACCTTGGGCGCGACGACCGCTTGCACGTGGTGTCACTTGGGTAAGTGGGACTTGGATGCTATTCAGATGCAGCGATATGGGCGTAGGCAAGGCCAAGGACCGCTGGCGACAGCACTCATCCAACGATGCGCTGCGTCGGGGGACTGGGCGCTCCTCCAAAATTGCCACCTCGCCAAGTCGTGGATGCCGACGCTTGAGCAACTTCTGTTGCAGCTGCGCGCTGACGCAGGTGACGTCCACGATGACTTTCGACTCTTTATGACGTCGTTTCCGGCGCCGTACTTTCCGGTCGCGATCCTCCAGTCGTCGGTCAAAGTCACAAACGAACCGCCGCGAGGACTCAAGCCCAACCTTCGGCGGTCATTTGACACGCTCATCTCGGACGACCTGCTCCGCTCCATGTCGTCTGCGGAGCGTCACTTGGTCTTTGGTCTCGCCTTCTTCCACGCTGTCGTGCAAGAGCGGGCCAAGTTTGGGCCCATGGGCTGGAGCATGCGCTACCAGTTCAACGACTCGGACTTGGAAACGTCGATCGCGCTTCTTCGGGCCCTCGTCAGCGCCGGAAAGAAAGCCCCCGAAGCGCTGCCGTGGGATGCGCTTCAGTGCGTTACGGGCGACATCATCTATGGCGGCCGCATCACGGACGAGTTGGACCGGCGCTGTCTCCTTGCGACGCTTCGGAGGTTTCTCTGCGTCTCGACGTTCACACAGCCCTTCACGGACGACGCGCCACTGTATGCGACACCAACGGCCACGTCCGTCGCCGAGTTTCAGGCGTTTATCGAGAGCCTTCCGAGTCACGACCCTCCAGCGATCTTTGGTTTGCATCCAAACGCTACGGTCGTGTTTGAGACGCAAGCGACGCAAGCACTGCTGGGCATGGTCTTGCAGCTGCAAGCGCACGGGTTCTCCGAAGCCAGTGGCGCCAACTCGGACGACGACGACGCTACCGTACTAGCATTGGTGGCGCACGTGCAGGCGACGCTTCCGCCGCTTCTGGATGTGACCTCAGCAATCACAGGGCTCTTTGATGAGCACGACGGCCAACTCGACTCGCTCGCGACGGTTCTTGGTCAAGAAATCACCAAGTTCAACCGGCTGCTGCAATCGATCTCAAACTCCGTGTCGATGGTCCAACTCGCGGTGCGCGGCCTTGCAGCTCTCTCGGCGGCTTCGGACGCGACATACAAAAGTCTCCTTTTGCGACAGGTGCCCCATGAGTGGGCCCACGTCGGCTTTGCGTCGCTAAAGCCCGTGGGGGCGTACTTGGACGACCTCAGCAGTCGCGTGCGCTTCATGGCCAACTGGTTGCGACTCGGAAATCCGTCGACGTTTCCTTTGCCCGTCTTCTTCTTCCCCCAAGGCTTCCTTACCGGTGTGCTGCAGAACCACGCTCGAAGGCATGCACTTCCGATCAACCTCCTCGAGTTTGCCTTTGCCGTCCTCCGCGACAACGACCAAGATGACACGATGACGGCCGACGGTGTCATTGTCACAGGTACGTCATTTCGAATCAAACCCAATCGAACGTGGACTAGGGTTGTATATGGAGGGCGGGCGGTGGGTGGATGGGCGCCTCACCGATGCAGCACCGGGTGAGCACTACGCGGTGATGCCACGCATTCGATTTCTGCCGCAGCTGCCACCAACAGAAGTGCCACCAGGGTACGCGTGTCCGGTGTACAAGACCACAGCTCGCCGGGGCACGCTCTCAACCACGGGTATTTCAACCAACTTTGTCGTGAGTGTGCTCCTGCCGTGCGAACTGGACCCGGGGCACTGGGTGCTGCATGGCACGGCGCTTCTGTGCAACTTAGATACGTAACTAGATGATGGTACAAGGGCTTTCTTGCAAACCACAGCATGGATATCGTACCGCGTCTGTGGACGTACAGAACTTCGACTTCGACGGATCAGACAACGAAGGCTCCACGAGCAGCTGGTCCGACGCAGTGTTCGGCACCGCCGCAACGCAGCAGGCTCTGCGCGGCGGTATAGTTTTGTAGAGACGATTGCCAAAGGTCGCGGTGGCATGTCCTTCGATTAGTGTATACTCGATCGATGGATCACATGACCATTTGAACCCCGATGGAAGAACGCCGGGTGTAGTAGCCACCCGCGACAGTACTCGGCGCCGTGGACTTCGATCCTCCCACGACCGGCTTCTTCTCAGGCCTGGTTTCTCGACCCAGTACCCGCATGTACCGGTATGTGGGCACGCCGCCGGGAACATCCTGCATACACACACAACCGACACCATTGTCGTATCTGGGATCGCACCCAATACCTCGTTGAAGTCCCGGCTAGAAAGTTTCGTGTCAAGGGAGCTAAAGACACGGCTGGTTGTCTTCGTGGTGTCCACTTCTGGCACCTGGCGCCACCACGTGGTGATGCCTAACCTTCTCACAAAAGCACTCAAATAATGGGATACCAACAAGTTGTAGACCAGTAGGGGTGAACCAGGTTTTTCGTTGCCCGTAGTTGGTTCTGCGCGCATGGTCTCCGTCCGCCAAGACTAACTGGATGTAATCGTTCATGTTTGTGGGTTGTAGGATTAAATAACAGAGAAGTGTACATGGAAGCGACTAGAAACTACGGCTAGATGGCAGCGGTCGGCTTCTTGCGGAACTCGCGCGTAATGCCGAGGGAGAAGCAGTCGCGCTGGACAAGCTGGTGCGGTGGAATGAATGCCTCCGTTCGTCGCGGTGTCAGTCGCGCGCCAGCGCCCGACTCGGTCGACGCCAGCTCAAGGCCAAACACGTCGTCGTCGGCCACGTCAAAGAGGAAATCGTCGTCGTCGTCGTCATCGTCTGTCGTCCAGCTCGGCGACGAGGCGGCAAAGTGCGATGGATGCTCCCACGAGAAGCCGCTGTCGCAGGACCCACTGCGGCTTTTGCTGTTGGTGGACGTCGGAATCATTATGGGAGCGCTCTTCTTGCGCTCGAGGGCCGATACGTCCGGTGCCCGACAGCTCGTCGACGAGCTTCGGCCGACATGCAGCTTGCCAAGGTACTTTGTGCGCCACTCGGCAGACCCGCTGAGCGTGAACGCAGGGTCGTCGGCCATCGCCTTCATCGCACCGAGGTGCTTGTGCAGCGATCGCTTGGCTGGCGGATGCATCATCATGGTGGTGTTGTGCGTACGAAAGTGCAAATTGCAAACTAAGAAATCACGTGCGATGGGGCACTTCAACGGCTTCGTGTCAGATGGCCAAATCATCCCACGCCACCTCGAAGTTCGCAGTGCTGGAGCAGATTCGGCAGCGTGACGAAGGTGGGTGGTCATGACGCTGCTACCGAGGTAGAGACACTGCCGCCTTGAGCAATCGAGCGATGCCATACGCTCCAGCCAGTTTCAGGAACAGGCGCGCCCGTTGCGGTCACTGGCGGCAGGATGGTCGCACGCTGCTGCTTCGTCCCAGGTGCCAATCGAGACGCCGTCGGAGGCCCAGGCAGGGCGACGGGGCGCCACTGACATCGCCACGCCATCCCATTGGTCAGCTGGATGAAGCAAAAGTTGCAGCACCTGCTCCGTCACAGGTGGCAGGTGATATTGGTAAGCCCTTGCGGCGTCCGTGGACCATGCCAACGACGCCTGGCGCCAGCAAAATGCATGGTCATGGGCCCAAGTTGGCGAAAAGACGCTGACGGAAGGGCGCGTGCCGTACTCTAGTTGAGCGCGTCATCGCCAGCTGCTGCCCCGTCCCTGGAGGGCTCCTGCGTCCAGCATGCGGGCGAAGATATTGCAAGCGTCCACGCGGTGGAGCGTCCACTTCTGGGACAAGCGCCTGTGAGAAGGGAAATGCAGCCACACGATAGGCCCAGTTACCTCGTGGTCTAAATGAACGGAGCCTCTTGCATGCACTGGTGAGGGCATAGATGCATGTGTGGACGAATTGCTATTTCGAACTCTCAAGTATGTGGGCAGATTCACATGCTCCTCGTCCGTGGGACAGAGGCGCGCGACCAGCAATTGGCGCCAGAAACGTTGCACCATCACCAGGGACCGAGATGATTCGAACTGGAGACGAATGGTCCGATTCCGAAGAGGTGGGCGTCATTGTGGGAAATACGGTTTTCTAGTCCCAGCACAATCTGGATTGCTCCAAGTGTAGTACAGAGCCGTAATACGTTCTTGATTTGGCAACGCGAAAACCATATTTGGCATCTCCCGGTTCTACTACGACGAGTCGCGTTCATGGGTTGCCATGAGTTGTTGCCATGAAGATGCTTCTGGTCTGTCCAAGAGCCCGACGAAGTTTTCAGCTTCAATCAAGGCTGACCTCTGGGACCATAATTGTTGCCCCATTTCTGCACACTTGTGTGCAATTCTACGGTGATACTAGTATGCAACAACTTCGTCAATGCTGCTTCAAAAGCTTATTTGTACACC